CCATCTTTCTATTTTTTCATCATACCAAACGGAGCATAAGAGAAGATAGATTTGTTGCCCAAACACAATACATGCTTGCAATTTTTTTAGTTCCTAAATTAACTTCAAATCATAATCTGGAACCTCTTATCTTATGCAAGAACTCAAGAAGGTCTGTCGTCTATATTACTGCCTTGGACAAATTATGAAAAAAGGAGGGCTCTGTTGTCTGCATCAAGTCCACATTTTAAGATTTTTGTCACTGCCTGATGGTTTGAGATTACTTGGTTATCGAAATTTCTAAGTGCGGGACCATGTGGAGTCTTTGGCTATACATTTTCTTTTTTTTTTTGTAGTAGTCATTTTGTGTCCTTGCTTGTGACTTGTGAGCTTTTTAACCAAACTAGTGTAGTTTGGAAAAAAAATTTCAAACTCAGGCTATTTTCAAATCATGTTTGTCTTAAAATTGGGTAATTTACTACGTTTGTTGACGTTTATCTTACCCTATTCATTTCTTTCTCTATTCATTTCTTTTCAGAGTTTTGACGATTCAAGGAAATCAAAAGAGTATTTGGAAAGTAACCCCTTGAAATTTGTAAGAGTATAATATTTACACTCTTCAAATTTAAAATATTGTAATTAGACAAAAAATACATCAATTAAAGATAAAATATAAAATATTTTAAATTTTATAGCTAAAATTCATGTTCAATTATAACGTTTATTGAAATAGTATCGAAAATAAAATTTTAATTTTTTCCTAAAAAATTATAATTAGTATACAATTGTACCAAATTACCTCAATTAAAGTTAGAAGATATTGTGTTCATTACAATTTGACCCTTTGTTTGATTTTTTAGTTTTATTCTAATAGATAGTATAATTGTATACTAATTATGATTTTTTTAAAAAAATTAGATTTTTATTTTTAATTTAATTTTAATAAATGACATAATAGAACATCAATTGTAGTTGTAAAATTTATGTTCTATTATGAATGACTTAGACCCCTTGTTTTACTCTAATAAATAGTATAATTGTATATTAAATTATGATTTTTTAAGAAAAATTAGATTTTTATTTTTGATTTTATTTTAATAAATGATACAATAGAGTATGAATTTTGGTTGTAAAAGTTAAAATATTTGATATTTTATCTTGGATTAGAGTATTTTTGATTTAAGTATTATATTTTAAATTTGAGTGGTGTAAGTATTATACGCTTACAAATTTTAGGAGGTCTGGATATAATTTACTAACAGATATTGGCGGCAAGGACCTAAGTATTATGCGAGTATAAACCTTAGGGGATATGTGTATAATATTTAAATACTAGTCATAACTCGTGCCTGAAGGCACGATAAAATATAAAATTCGAGCATCCAAAAAATTGATCCTAGTATATTAAATTTTTTCAAAATATATTAACTACAAATTAATTAAATATGAAATGATTAAATATATGATAAAAATGAGTTGTGTGATATTTTTAGGGAGAAAATATATAAATAATTAAATATGTGATAGAATTAGTAATGTGATTTGATGTTTGAGTCTGACAAATAGATGATGGGTGAGGTAAGTGATTGATGATGGTTTTGATAGGAAAAATATGACTATGATAAAATTCAAACACACTCTTGTTTTATTATATAGATTAGGAGTTTGAGTGATTAAGTGATAAACTTCAAGAAGTCTGAATATAATTCTCTCAAAATAAAGTTGTCGGAAAACTGCGTCAACGCTTTCATTGACTTGTGGCAAGGTGTAGCACCAGACAGTTATCAGTCAAGGGGTGTCCATGGGCCGAGCTAGGTTGGCAAAATTTTTTTTGGGTCGGGCCTAGGTAATGTAGATCTAAACCCTTACCCAAGTGAGTTATCAGACGAACTGGACTTTGGATAGGCAACCCAACGCGCAAGCCTATTAGGCAAATCTGTTCACGAGTTTTTATATATACAATTTCATTTAAAAATAATAAATATTTTTGTAACTTAATGTTTGTACAAATTATATTTTTGATTCAAAAATAGAGTCAAATGGATTAAAATAAAATAATTAATAATTTTATGTTTAATTAGAGGATGAACTACATCCAATATAATGAATACATCCCAACTAAGCTGACACCTACTCACTTATCTATCATTTGCATTATTCTACTCTTTAAAACTTGTATGCTTAATACATGAAAAATAAAATAGTACATTATTTATAGTTTCTAAAATTTTAAAACTTCAAATTCCGACATTGAGAGATTTATTTTCAAAGTTTCAAATTTAATGGTTTAAAAATATAACTTTTTTTTCAAATGAAGGGTGGACGGGCTATGTGGGCAGGTTGGGCTTGGCGGGCTGGCTTGATGAATGGGCTCTTGGGCCATATTTCGGGCAGGATAATGAATTTGGGGGCAAACTCAAGCCTTCTTTTTTAAGATATTGAGCTCGGATTGGAGCGGACCAACTATCGAGCCTATAAGATTTCGGACAGTAATATTATGTAAACACAAAAATGTCTTTAGAAATTTGTGTTGTGTGTCATTCGATTATGACAAAGGCGTAATTCTGTCTCTCTCTATGGGTAAAAGGAGGGGCAACGGTCTTGTCAAAGCGCAGACGAAATCAATTCAAAGTGAAACAATTTATATCGAGCAAGAACCTACACTAGAATAGGAAAACCCAGACATTCATTATTTTCATAATTATAGTCTTGCAGCTTGGGCTCGAACTTGTAACTTACACCTTGACAGGGCACTGCTCTGACCGATTGAAGAAGAATCCAAAGAAAATGAGGCGTACAACCTAAAAATGCTTCTTTTTTTTTTTCCCTCTTCGTTTTAACCATTAAGTTTTGTCATATTTAGCCAAGGAACATATTGTGGCGGCTTAGCAGCAATAAAAATTTACAACTAAAACAAATTTTTAGGGGCTTATGACATTTTTACATTTAGGTGTAACAATTTTTGTAGTTCAAAGGCCATTCTCTTATTGTGCCAAACATATCAACGCACACACAAACACTACCACAGGAGCCAAATTACTCTGTCCACCTCAACCTCCACCTAGCCTTGTCCATGGATTGGATTCTGATATGAATTCGATTAGTCGAATATATATTAATATTTTTTACTAATAATCTGAACTCGATATCTTATATTTCATAGATTCGGATTTGGATATGCCTATATCCCATTCAATTATGATTCGATCAGAATTATTTATATATTTCTATATATATATTAAATAAATTAAGTGATTATTTAAAGAAATTTATATATAATTTCTTAAAATTCAGATAATTAAGTTATTCGGATTGGACTTTAGATTGTCAACGAATTTGGATATGGATCACGAAATAAAATTTATCAGATTATCGGATCGAATTTTTGAAATTAGATTCGAATTAGTTAGAACCCGATCCAACCTGATCCGTTGATAGGCCTATCTCCGCCCCCAATCAACTCATAATTGAATGAATAAATGAGAGAGAGAGATTTTGCAGCTTCGCCACTATCTGTGCCCACATCCCATACAAGGTCGTGAGTAGGTGTTTTGGACGCAATGAATTGGAACAACTCTTCTGGGTAACTCGGTCGAGAACCGGTGTACTGTTTTCCTGTGTAAGGAACAAATCCACCATCTTTCCTTCTTCCCTTTCCTCAGATAGAGAAGTCTGTGCTATACATAGATTTATCACTTTTATGAATTTTTTTTTACCATTGTTGTGAATGTTTTTATCAGTATTGTGATAACTATTTTTACTATTTTTCTTATGTACTAAATACATCCTGTTTGTTGCAGCCTTTAATTTGTTACAGCTTGAGAAGCTGTCTATCTCCCCAGTACGAGGAATGTATGGCTGAAACACTTCACACTCTTTCCTTCTGTGGAGAGGGATGTATATATTAGTTTTTAATCCTTTTAAATCACAAGCACGAGTACAAACTACCAGTTGATACCAAGAGAAAATAGATACAAACTATCGATTGATACTAAGAGAAGATAGTTATAAACTATCGATTGATACTAAGAGAAGATATATTTGTTGCCCAAATACAATACATGCTTACAATTTTTTTAGTTCCTACATAAACTTCAAATCATTATCTGGAGCCTCTTTCACAAGAACTCAAGAAGATCTGTAGTCTATGTTACTACCTTGGACAAATTATGAAAAAAGGAGGCTCTGTTGTCTGCATCAAGTCCACATTTTAAGATTTTTGTCAATTCCCTGATGGTTTGGGATTACTTGATTATTGAAATTTCTAAGTGCGGGACCTTGTGGAGTCTTTGGCTATATATATATATATATATATATATTTTTTTTTTCGTAGTAGTCATTTTGTGTCCTTTCTTATGAGCTTTTTAACCAAACTAGGGTAGTTTGGAAAAAAAATTCTCAAACCCAGGCTATTTTCAAATCATGTTTGTTTTAGAATTGTGTAATTTACTAAGATTGTTGACGTTTACCGTATCCTATTCATTTCTTTTCAGAGTTTCGGTGTTTCAAGGAAATCAAAGGAGTTTTTGAAAAGTTTTTCGGGCTGTTGCAACTGATTTGACCCCTAATTACAACTGTTGCTCGTGGCTGTCAAAACTTTATTCTAGAATTGAACTCAAAAGTGCTAGTGGGCTTTTTCTCACTGCACATCGACGAGAACTATCCGACTATATCAAACCCTCCAAAGAATTAGAGTTGGTTTTGTTGAATAATAAACATTTCAATTAGTCAATACAGTCAGTAGAACTATTAGCACCACGTGGGTCCATTATCTTCCGGTCCATACATTCATGTGGATTGAATGCAAAACCAGAGATATGAGCCGTAAGAAAGCTCAGTTTCTTGACCTGAGTCGTTGCTGAATGCATTGACTTAGATACTTAGATCACAAAGTGCATCTTCTTCACAATCAAAAGATCCTTTTGGGAAAATTTTTACAACCATTTCCCTCTGTTCTTGAGTTCTTCTTGCAATCCTAGGGCAGTCAAACATGGCAGACCAAATTCTGTTTAATGTCGCAGCAAATATATTGTCGAATTTGTGTTCCAGTGCCGTCCAACAGATTGGTTTGGCAAGGGGTGCCAAGAAAGAATTGAAGAAGCTGGAAATCACCATGTCCACCGTAAAAAATGTGCTTCAGGAAGCTGAGGAACGGCAGGTTACAAATCTTGCAGTGAGAGGATGGCTGGAACGGCTCAAAGAAATAGTTTACGAAGTTGATAACTTGGTGGATGAATTTGCATATGAGGCCTTGCGAAGGAAAGTAGAAATTCATGGTAGCATGAGAAGGGAGGTATGCAACTGCTTTTTACACTCGAATCCATTTGTATTTCATTTTGGTATGGGTAAGAAAACAAAGGATGTTAGGCAGAGGTTAGATGAGATCGTAGCAGAGGCAAACGATTTTAATTTTGCAATTAAAGTCGTAGAAAAACAAGTTCAAACTAGAAGAAGGCAGGAAACCTACTCCTCTGTGCGTATAGAAGTAGTTGGCAGAGAAAGTGATAAAGAAGCTATTATACAAATTTCAAAATCCTTTAATGATGACCAAAATGTTCATGTCATCCCTATATTAGGGATGGGGGGTATAGGGAAGACCACACTTGCACAGTTGGTGTACAGTGATAATTGGGTTGCAAGTGAATTTAGTCAAAGAATATGGGTGCATGTATCCAAGGATTTTGACATAACAGGGATTGTACTAAAAATTCTGAATGCAGTTGGAGTAAATGAATGCGATAAGTTAGCATTTGAAGAGTTGCAAAGGCGCCTCCAACAAAAACTGAGGGATAGGAAATTTTTTCTTGTCTTGGACGATGTATGGAATGAGGATCGAGTTGAATGGATTAAACTACGAGATCTATTGATGGTTGGGGCCCGAGGAAGTTTGATTATTGTTACCACACGTAGCAATAAAGTGGCTTCACTAATGGGAACATGCTCCCCACACATTCTTAAGGGTCTTTCGGATGAGGACTGCCTGTCTGTGTTTGTTAAATGGGCATTTAATGAAGGAGATGATAGAAAACATCAGAACCTAGTCAATATTGGAAGAGAGATAGTGAAAAAATGTGGTGGAGTTCCTCTTGCGGCAAGGACTTTTGGAGGCCTATTGTACTTAGAGTTTGATGTGCGTGATTGGATGTTGGCTAGAAATAATGAAATCTGGGCCATTGTTCAAAATGAAAATGATATTATGCCCGTATTGAGGTTGAGTTATGATCAAATGCCATCATATTTGAAGCAATGTTTCGCCTATTGTTCATTGTTGCAGAAGGATGAAAAAATTGAAAAATGGAGGCTCATCTATCTTTGGATGGCGCAAGGATTCATCCCGTTATCCCACCACAACAAAGAATTGGGAGATATAGGAGAACGTTATATATCTGAGTTGGTGAAGAGATCTTTTCTCCAAGAGGAAGGTCAAGGATATTATAAAATGCACAGTCTTGTACATGACCTTGCACAATATGTGTCAAGTGGTGAGTGCTTCACAATTAAAACTATTACAGAACCAATTCCTGAAATTGTGAAACATGCAGTCTTCTGTTTGTCTTTGGAAGATCTAAAAATTGTGAAGTCAATGAATTTCCGTACCATTCTTTGTTCTGAGCTTAGTTGCAACAGCTATGTCCAAACAATAGTCTCAAGTTTTAGATACCTACGTGTGTTGGAATTGAATTGTCTCACAGGTGACGTGCCAAGTTCTATTGGAGAACTAAAGCATTTAAGGTATCTTGTTGTTGAAGCCACCTTTCACAAGATTACACTTCCTGAATCCATTAGCAAGCTGCTAAACTTGCAATATTTGGACCTTCGCATGCCATGCCAGCTCTTCTTTGAACTGCCCCAAGGTGTTGGCAAGCTAATCAACTTACTATGTTTATCTTTGGTTGATACACCTTTAGTCTGCTTGCCGGATGAGATTGGGCGACTAACTACACTCCAGACACTAAGAATATCTGGGTCGAAGTTGATCAAGTCCTTGCCTGAAGGGATACAACACCTCTGTTGCCTTCGCTACTTGGAAATTTGCAGTTGTAATGAGCTGACTTCACTACCGTCTGGCATGCAATACCTCACTTCCCTTGAGGAATTAATAATTATGCGTTGTCAAAATCTTATCTTCACCGAGAATGATTTCCAAGGGCTTAAACGCCTTAGGTCACTAACCCTGTATTATCTACCAAAGTTGATTAATTTTCCAAAGAGGCTTCAAGAGTCTGCTGCCACACTGGAGCATATTCGAATTGTTTTTTGTCAAAATTTGACATCTCTATCAGACTGCCTTGAGTATCTCACTTCCCTATGGAAGCTTGAGCTATGCTTTTGCCCAAGTGTGAGGCCATTACCAGAGAGGACAAAATGTCTCACTGAGCTAACAATTCTTCAGGATGGAGACGATTGGTACGTGATAAATGATTTCCTAGAACCATTTGAGGGAGAAAATGTACATCGGATAGTTAAGGGTATGTTTTCCTTAATTTCTCTACTTCAATCCTACTCTATGACATTGCTGATCACATATTTGTTAACTTACAATCTTATTTTGTTGGTTTGTAGTGTTTTTGCTGGAATATAAGTTGATGAAGATATGGAATGCGAAGCCTAATCTAAAGATGTATTAAGATGAGCCGTGGTTGCAGTAACTCTGTCTCTCTCTCTCTCTCTCTGTGTCTCTCTCCAGTTACTTCTTAATAGGAGGAGGATTTCATACATTAAGATCGTTGACATAAATAAATTCAATTCAGTTTAAATTTTAAAAATTTAGTGTGTTTTTCAATTTATATTGGATTTGTTATACTTATACCGACAAATCCACACCATTGAAAAGGAATTGAAAGACCCTATAATTATGTCTAACCTAGAGAGAAGCCAAATCCCTTTGCATAAATAGAAATTTAGAAAGTTACCCAATGTTTCAATTGTCTTTCATATATAGATCAATAGTTTTTTTGCCTTGTGGGCAACTCATCTAATTCTATTCTCTTCCATACTTTTGCAGTAGTGGTCCTTGATTTATTTTAAATAGCAATTATCACCAATCTCTCATATTAGGAATTTAGTATTGAGGCACCAAATCCTATCCTCTACCATATGTCTAAGAATTTGTAACCTTACATGTCCTATAAATTTGTACCCTTTTAATTTTAGAAGGCATGCCATATTGTCAAAACATTTTTAAATATAAGGTGTTTTTATTGAAGACATTGTTTTTTACATAAACGAAGTTTAGTGAAATTTTCACCAAATTAAAAATTAATGCATCTAAAAAATTGAAAAGAACAATTATTATCACCATTCCTTTCTTATTTATACCTCCAAAGAATCCTTATCTTGCTTGGCCTTTACTGAAATCCATGGGAGACAATTCTGTCTACCTTTATTGTGGTACATTATGTATATTGACTCCATGATTATACAGTCAGAGAGATTTGTAAGTGTAAAGGTTCATGGGCATGTCATGATTCAGATATAAAAGGTAGTTAATATATTTGCACTTTATCCTAGAAAGGCGGAGTTGATCCTTTTGGGGTGGGTTGTGACATAATCCTTTTGACTCGAAAATTTCTCTCTAGATTTTTAATTTAATATTTTATTTGTATATATAAATATATTATAATTCCAGCATAGTGTTCTTTGATTAAAATTATGATAAGAACTTAAAATAATTCCATGATACTCTTATTAGATTTCTTATATTGGATTCTCAAAGTGTTGCAATGTGGTCATTCCGTTTAACTTCTATTGCTTATTTCGTAAAAAACCACCATATTGACGTTGACGGAATGAGTAATAGAAACTAACAGGAAGATCTCATTATAATAGTTTTAATACATTGAGGATGTAATGTGGAAAATCTAATCTTTGAGGGTGCAAAATGAAAATTCTTATATTTTTTAGGAAGCAAACTATAATTCTCCATTCGTTTAAATTGAAACTTGAATATTATTTATTACATTGGCATATACACTTCGTGCCATAGTTTGGCCAAAAGTATGATTTCTGAAAGGAAAATGCTATTTTGACCTAATTTGGTGATCTAATCTAGGGATCTAATTCAATACAACCATTGGATTGGTTGCGGGTTCCATTTAACATTGGAACTCACAACTAATCCAATGGTTGCATTGAAGCCACATCATTAGGTCCCCAAATAAGGTCCCTATAGCATTGCTCTTTTTGAAATGGATGTGTTGGTTTCTATTTCTTGGTTCAATGAACTTGAATGAACCTGACTGATATCTATGGATTGGGAGATAATTTTGGTTCCTTGCAAGGATTCAAGGGTTCCTACTACTTCTAAGGAGGATAGGTTTGAAGTATTAGAATAATTGTAGTGGCCAGAGTGGTTCTACGAATTCCCATTATTGATCCTCTCGCATCCCTAGGGTGGAAGGTCCAAAGCTCCCCAAGAATTGTTATTGTTTGATTGAATACGATACAATAGTTAGTTTTTGGCATTCTTGGTAGTTTGATCTAAATGATGTTTTATTGAATTGTTTTATACTAATGGTACATGCAACAATGGATATACTATAAGTAATGTTGTGGCTATACAGTTGCTTTATTATAAATGTGTATATTTTGTGAAAAGTGTGTTGGACCAGACTTTATTGTTTTAAAACATTGTTTGTGAATGGATTTTCTATTGAGTTGGTTGTGCTCACCCTTTATTTAACAGTTTTCAGATTTGGGTGTAGTACCAAAACAAAGATAAGTTGACAATGTGGAGGTTGAGCATGAGGTGGATCTAGATGTTGATCCTGGTTATGAGGCTTAAGGATTGGGTCATCTAGTTTTGATTATCATGTTTTCCCTTTGGAAATATGTTGCAAACTCTTATAGTTATTGTGGAATTCAACCTAGTATTTTGGTTCACTGTTTTGATTTAGTGTGATTGGGATATAAACCTTATGTTATTGACGGATTACTACTTTGGGTCTTCAACGAATGATTAAGTTTTGGTATAAATGACTTGTTAGAATGACATGTTAATGATATCATAATTTGATGGATTATGTAATTGCTTAGATTGGTTTTATGTAAAATGATCTCGTAGGTTACTTTTGCCATTAGGTTATAAGTCAGAATTTCGAACAAATCTGTGCAAAGTGTTTTAAAAAATGTGTTCTTTTCCTAAATCAATGATAATTTGTGTATAGATTCCTCGAAAAACTGTGGGAATATTTGAATAAAAGAATTTTCTTGCAAAATCATGTTTTAATGAAATTGGATTTTTTATCGGCATGATACATTCATCGAATTCATTCATACTCATTTATCTAAATTATTCTTATGATACTACTAAAAATAAAAAAATAAATGCAAAATGGCTGGCCTTCTAGTTCTTTAGTTTCCTACTCTCCCAAGCCTCAGATAAACTGGAAATTTGATAACCTTTTGGGCATTTCCATCTTCATTCCAAGCGCTTTGAAATTCTTTGATCACATCGCTGCTCAAGAGCTCCACACCTTTCTCCAATGCAGTTTGATATGCAGACCCTGATTTCGCATATATGATATAGTCATTGAAGTCCATGATTCTCTCTGCTTTGAATTCCAACGGTCCCGTGTGATAGACTCCGTCCACCGCCTCAAATGGAAAATCAATGGTCCCATACTGTTAGAGTGTGTGTGGCTCATATTTGTTGTGTGCATAATGGCAAGGAGGCAGATGCCGGAGCGGGCGGAGCGTAGCCCGCGACGGCATCTGCTTTGCGGGATTGATATAAAGGGGACGCTGATTAGTTGGGAGTGCGGGGGCAACGCCCCCGCGGTACGGTACAAGGGTATTTTTGTAAATACGTCCATATTAGGGTTATATAAATACTTAAGATGTAACCTTATTCTATAATGGAAAAGAACGGCCGCTCGCTCTCGTGGATGTAGGCACATTGCCGAACCACGTAAATCTCTGTGTGTTATTTTCTTCTGTTTTCTTAATTGTTTGATTCCTTACTATTCACCATAATTGTTGCACGATCACAACAATTGGTATCAGAGCTAGACTACGATGTCTGGGATTTCCTCTACAAAATTCGACATCATGAAGTTCGACGGAACTGAGAATTTCGGATTATGGCAGAGGAGGGTGAAGGACCTGTTAGTGCAGCAGGGCATGGTGAAGGCATTATACAGAAAACAACCGGCAGGAATGGACGACATGGATTGTAGGTAAGGAAAGAACAGAATGGATTAGATCTGGTCGCTAGGGGCATGGTTCTTCCTGTAAGCTAAGATGAATGCTATTTCAGTTCCGAGGAAAGAGAGGTCTTCAATCTTACCTGTGGGATGGTAGCTTTACTTCTTGACTCTCTCTATTCTAGTTGAGTAAGGAAGTCCTCATAGCAACTAGTTTGTGAATGCTTAAATCGCTCTTTTTTAATGAAAAAGACGGTGTGGTGTTTTGACAAGGAAAATAGTTTTGATCTCACTCTTATGAGTGGAAAAGCTCTTTTAATGAAAAATCCCGGGTTTTGACAATCAGTTGCGCATCAGGGTCTTGATCTTGCATCTGACCTACACCATGCAGTTACTATGTGATCTGTCCTGCACTGTCTTAAATAAAGAAAAACCTTATTCTAAAAAAAAAGTCCCTTAAAGATAAGAAATCAGTTACGCACTTCGTTCGCTGCAGAAAAGAGAACAAAAATGAAGCTGAAAGCAACGAAGATAGAGCTCTGAAGGTGCCAGGTTCCTGCAGGAGAGGACTCTAATTCATGCCAATGGAAGCAGTTTCAAGGGATGAACATGCCCATCCGCCTTTCTGACCTTTGGTAAGATTGGATGTTAAAATGGACTAAGGCTTCATCTAGTTATTATTATTTCTCTCCATCCGTCTTATTTCACTCATTGATTTCTGACGGTTGCTTAGTACTACTTATGATCCTGTAGGTTAGGATTTTAGGAAAAGAGTGGAATGGCTTTTCTTTGATACTATTCTGTTGTTGTGGCTTCTGGTTGTTCATGCTAAACTTTTCTAACACTCTGAGTAGCCCTAGGTATGCAATTCAAGGCCTATTTATGAGTTCTTGTCTTGCTCTCGCCACCCCAGTATAGAAAATGGCCAATGTTGGCATTTCCTATGACAAAGCAGTATGGTACATGGAATGTTCCGTATCTCACCTTACCTTACCTTACCTTACCTTACCTTATAGGTGCTAAAAAAACTATAAGCTTTGCAAAGAAACGAGTATTCCCAGGAAGTAAGAACGAGCAAGTTCTCAAGTTTTTAAAAAGATTTACTTCACGGGCAAAGGCCACGCGAATCAACACTTTTCTTCGCGTTACCGCGGCCTCTTTGAATCACACCTAAACGCGAATGGGCGGATCGAAGACTTAGGCAGCAACCATGCTGATCCGACCTGAAGACATCGGATGGACACCGATTGTGTCGACTTCGTCACTGGACTTAACAATCGTTTATCTGGTGACTCCTGAATCACAACTATTGGCTAGTCGACAACAACGACTGTACAAGACCCAGAAGTAAGATCCGCCGAACTTAAGTTGCAACTCCACAGGTACTGAACAGCTACCCTGCTGTCCCTGTGAAGAAACTGAAGACCCGACCTCAGCAAAGAATGCGTAATCGTGTGTACCGAAGTCAAACACCGCATCGCGGGCTCTCTTCACTTCCGAAAACTTAGTATGCTCGTGTCGCGCCCCCCCTGTCTCCCTCTCCTCATTATCTTCCTTAACAAGAAGCATTTTTGTTGTGCACTCTATCACGTAGTGCCCCATCTGCCCGCACCTAAGGCACGCACCCCAGCTTCCACTTATTGTTCTTGGAAGAGCTCCCTGATGCTGCTTTTGCCTTCCCTTTAAATTTCATTTGGACGTAGAGGTGAACAAAAGTATATCCCTAGGATTAGGATCTACACTTTGTCCAGACAGGCTCAGCCTGTTCATCCTCTATACGTAAACGTCTTATCATGCACCTTTGCATTAAGAAAATAAGGAAGGGTTATGCTGATGCAGTAGCAAAGACTGCCTTATCCCATCATCTTTTTAAATTGATACCATTCATGATCTGACTAAGATTATCGACATCATAGTTTTTCATACCAAAAGCCTCCAGCTGATCACAAAGGTTCTTCACCTTAATACAGTAACAAGAAAGAGCCCCAACTAGCCCCTATTTGAGTAAGGCCATGTTGTTCAGTCTCCAGGCACTGACGCTTACTTGCGGTCGCATGTTCATTAACTTCCCTCAAAGTAAGCCATGCCTTTCTTGGGTCTGTAATGCCCCCATATATGGAGGCGCATCTCATCAGCTACAGACACTATGATCGCATGCATAGCCCCCTAAGACCAGAACAACATGAACATAGCTTCTTATTCGCCACATCCTCTGGTTCACCTTCCGCACCACTCCAAATTATCCAACATTCCTGGCCCATCAAGAAGCACTTTACCTCTTCACTCCAATTTATATCATTTTCGCCATGTTGGAGTGAACGGCACACAATCGACAAGCCAGACATTATTTCCAATGCAAAAAAAAATAATTTGACGATCTGATTCTGGAGGAGAATACATGTCCACGGAATTTTCTCAATATCTTATTTCCAGAGGCACTGTTCATCAGAGATCTTGTGCGTATACTCCTGGAATAGCTGAGAGGAAAAAAAGAGACTTATTGGAAACGATTAGAGCTATGATGTTTGGGATGAATGTACCTCGTTTGGGCAGAAGCTGTGTTGACCGCAACATACTTGATCAATCGCATACCGTCTAAGTTCTTGCTGGAAGCATCCCTGATGACTCTCATTTAAAAGTCTTTGGCTGCTGTTCATATTCTCTCTTTTTTTGTTTCTTTAAAGCGCCGGAAGCTAATGAAAGAAAGCGAGCTCAACGAAACAAACGAAGCGAGCAGCAGGAGAAGATCGGTAGTAGAAGGTAACGAACTAGAGACTCAGAGAGAGATCAGAAGCCAAACTCGGCAAGGAGAAGGCTGAACCCAGGTGCTACACTACAATAGGCGTCACCTGGGGCCGCACGACTCAGGCAGACTCTCTACCCGTGCGCGTGCCCATTTCGCTTTAGAAGGTATCAGAGCGGAGTTTTGGGGAAATCCCTTTCGATTTCTGCTAATTCTCTTCTTGTTGCACCATGTCCAAGCTTGACGATAGCAGTGGAGCGCTGTCTGCGGCGGCTGTTGTTAAGGAAACACTCAAGGATCGACCAACTTGATGGCAAGGTCGACCATTTGGGCGAACAAGTGTAGACTATGGCAGAAAGGCAGGAGAATCAGGAATCGTTGGTCACCAGACGCTCGCTAATGAGTACCGCGTCTTCCCAGTGAAGGAGAGCCGTCTTCATGGGGCCTCAACGATCCCGGTAGCGATGTCCAAAGCGTGACGGACCGGGTCAAATTGAGGAGCTTGCTGTGGAGATAGGTCTCCGGTTCGTGAACCGAATGTCTCACCTGGCGACTCCAGACGCATTTGAGTCCCGGAACCACAGCCATTCAACGGGATTCGACCAAGGCTCGAAGACCTCTGGGACATGGAACAGTACTTTAAGGCGGCTGTTCGTGCCCCTGTTGACGACCAAGTCACAATGGCAACAATGTATCTCTCTGGGGATGCGAAGAATATTTGAAACCACTCTCGAACCATCACACGGATTCCGACCCAACTGCCCATGATATGGTAAGAACAGAATGGAAGGAAAAAAAAACGATTCTATGCGCAGACGTGAAAGCTCTATCAATAGAAGCATTCTAGCCTATCCTACCTATCCTATTTTGATTTAGAGAGGAACGATTCCCTTGTCTGAGAACCGCCATTCCCGCACTATTCCTCCCCACTAAAAAGAGCGATTGAGAATCTCGAGAACCTAAACAAAAATGCAGAAGTGAGCGTACCCTTCGATTGAAGCTCTCCTCTCTCCTCCTTTTTTAGCCAACACCATTTTTCTTATTATTATCAAAATGGGTCAAAGCCAAAAATCTGATGAATAGAAGGAAAGGAGATCAGAAAGATACGCGGACGACTTTACTATAGTATAGGTCGGATGTTTCCGTGAGCAGTAAGCAGCAGATCTCCCCTTATTTTGGGAAAGCTGGTGGCCGCGTGTGAATTCTTTCAAGGCAAGGGGCGGCCTGATTCGACATTGTTGTTTACTCTGATCCGGTCGAGGTGGTTTTCGTTTACCAGCGCGTAGGTGGTCTAAGTTCCTATGACCGAGTCTTTCTGGCCCCTGTGAACATCTTTTATTAATGTATTAAAGAGGGCCTCTCTAACCGGTGAAAAGTGGTGGGTGTCCACTAACGGCCATTCCTGGCTCGGCTCCGGCTGTGGCGACTATTAGGCTTTGTCTGGCTGATGAAGTGATGTATCACGTCATGGATGAGGAATCACCGGCGGAAGTTTGGTTAAAACTGAAAAGTCGGTATATGTCCAAGTCGTTGACGAACAAGCTCTATCTTAAGCAGAAATTATATGGTCTTAAGATGTCAGAGGGCTCAGATTTGACCCAACACATCAACGTGTTCAATCAGATCATCAGCGATCTGAAGCGAGTTGATGTGAAGTTCGAAGACGAAGACAAGGCGCTGATGTTGCTGAATTCCTTACCGGCGTCTCCTACGTACGAGAATTTGGTTACGACTCTGATGTGGGGGAAAGAAATCCTCGAATTGGAGGATGTCACAGGTGTTCTGTTAGGTTTTCATCAGCGGAAGAAAGCCAGTGATGAGGCTTCACAAGGTGAAGGGCTTGTGGTGAAGGGTAACCAGGAACGTGGAAGAAGCAAATCTCGGAATGGATCGGGTAACAATAAAGCCCGGTCCAAGTCGAGGAAGAAGAAGAAGGACGTCTCTGTCTCGTGTTACAAGTGCGGAAAAAAGGGGCACTTTAAACGGGACTGTCCAGAGAAAAAGAAAGGGGATTCAGAGAACAAATAGGGTGCATCAAAGTCTGCAAACGTAGTGGAAGAAGAAGATTCAGAGAGTGGTGACGGAGATATGCTTTCTGTTTTATCTAGTTCAGATCGTTTAACAGATTCTTGGATTATGGATTCAGCATGTTCCTATCACATGACACCCAACAAAGATTGGTTTGACACCTACAGGTCAGTAAATTCTGGTTCTGTTCTGATGGGCAATGATGCATCTTGCAAAGTTGTTGGAATAGGAAATATTAGAATTAAGATGTTTGATGGTATGGTTAGAACGTTGTGTGATGTTAGACATGTACCGAATCTAAGGAAGAATTTGATTTCATTGGGCATTTTGGATTGTAATGGTTATAGTTACAAATCTATAAGTGGAGTAATGAAAGTAAGTAAAGGCATGCTGACAGTGATGAAGGGATAGAAAGTAGTAGGAAACATTTACAGACTACTGGGTACTACAATTGTAGGTGGAGTTGCTGCTGTAGAGTTTGAATCAGATAATACAGTCTTATAGCATATGCGGCTGGGTCATATGAGTGAGCGTGGGATGATAGAGCTTCATAAGAAAAATCTATTGAAGGGTGTCAAGACATGCAAGCTCAATTTTTGCAAATATTGTGTTTTTGGAAAACAGAATAGGGTGCAGTTCAAGACAGCCACACACAAGACAGAAGGGGTTCTCGACTATGTCCATACAGATGTTTGGGGACCAGTTAGCGTACTATCACGGGGAGGATACATGTATTTCGTGAGTTTCATTGATGATTACTCACGAAAGGTCTGAGTGTACTTCATGCGGCACAAGTCAGAAGCGTTTGCCAAGTTCAAGCTGTGGAAAGCTGAAGTAGAGAACTAGACAGGGAGGAAGATTAAATGCCTTAGGTCAGATAATGGTACTGAGTACACAGATTCAAAGTTTCAGGAGTTGTGTGAGCAGCATGGGATCAAGAGACATTTCACAGTCTACAAGACACCACAACAAAATGGTGTAGCGGAAAGGATGAACAGAACGATAGCCGAGAAAGCTCGGTGTCTCAGGTTGAATGCAGGGCTTGCAAAGAATTTCTGGGCAGAGGCAGTGAATATGACATGTTTCTTGATTAACAGATCACCGAGGGCAGCACTAGATAGGAAAGTATCAGAGGAGGTGTGGACAGGCAGTGAGGTAGACTACTCTGGTTTGAGAGTGTTTGGATGTCCAGCCTATGTACATGTTTCTAGTGAGGAGAGGTCGAAGCTTGATGCGAAGTCTAGACAGTGTATCTTTCTGGGATATCAGAAAGGAGTGAAAGGCTTCAAGCTCTGGGATCCGAAGGCAAACAAGATGGTGATCAGTAGAGATGTGGTTTTTGATGAAAAAGCCATGTTGCAGCGTACTCAGGAAGAAGAGAAACAAGTACCAGAAAACTGTAGCACTAATGACCATGTGGTGCAGGTGGAGCTAGAGAATCATGGTAAAGAAGAGGATGCTCAGCATATAGAGCATTCTATCTCAGGTGATCAACAACATCATAGTATAGCCACAGACAGGCCCAAACGCAATATCAAGCCACCTACCAGGTATGGTTTTGAAGATTTGGTTTCTTATGCGCTTATTACTAGAGCGGGGATCCTACAACTTTTCAGGAGGCAGTACAAAGCCAAGAGAAAAGTAGATGGATGGGTGCTATGGTGGAGGAGATGAAGTCTCTGCATAAGAACCAGACGTGGGAGTTGGTGGAACTTCCCGAGGGGAAGAGAGCAATAGGGTGCAAATGGGTGTATAAGAAGAAAGAAGCAGTATCAGAAAATGAGGGAGAAAAATTCAAGGCTCGTCTAGTAGCAAAGGATTACTCACAGAGAAAAGGGGTTGACTATGATGAGATCTTCTCCCCCGTGGTCAGACACACTTCCATCAGGACAGTGTTGGCACTAGTAGCACATTCAGATATGCAGTTGGAGCAGATGGATGTAAAGACAGCTTTCCTTCATGGCGACTTGGAGGAACGGATTTACATGGTACAGCCAGAAGGGTTCAGTCTCCCTGGAGAGGAACATTTGGTCTGTAATTTGAAGAAATCACTTTATGGGCTGAAGCAGTCTCCGAGGCAGTGGTACAAACGATTTGACTCTTACATGATCCGAATTGGCTACAAAAGGTGTGAGTATGATTGTTGTGTCTATGTAAAAGGGCTTGATGATGATTTATTTATTTTTCTGTTACTTTATGTGGATGATATGTTGATTGCTGCTAAGAGTATGAGTGAGGTCAACAAGTTGAAGACTTTGTTGAGTAAAAAATTTGACATGAAGGATTTGGGTGTGGCCAAGAAGATTCTTGGGATGGAGATTCGCAGGGACAGAGCTTCCAAGAGATTATGGCTATCTCAGCATAGCTATGTTGAGAAGGTGTTGGACAGGTTCAACATGAGTTATACAAAATCAGTAAGTACACCTTTGGCCAATCATTTCAGATTGTCTACCACTCAGTGCCCGAAGACAGATGATGAAATTCATGACATGTCAAAGGTCCCATATGCTAGTGCAGTGGGGTGTTTAATGTATGCTATGGTTTGTACAAGACCAGATTTGACACAAGCTGTCAGCGTGGTTAGCAAGTTTCTTTCAAATTCGGGTCGACAGCATTGGGATGCAGTCAAATGGATTTTCAAATACTTAAGGGGCACTACAGACTATGGCATCAGGTTTAGCAGACAACAAAGTGACCCTTCAGTTATGGGATATGTGGATGCAGACTATGCAGGGGACTTGGATGACAAGAGGTCTACCACAGGTTATATGTTTACTCTTGTGGGAGGACCTATTTGTTGGAAGTCCATGGTACAACCTATAATTGCACTATCTACTACTGAGTCAGAGTATATGGCAGTAGCTGAGGCTGCCAAAGAGGCTTTGTGGCTTACAGGTTTAGTCAAGGAGCTAGGTGCCCAACAAGGTGGAGTTCAATTGCATTGTGACAGTCAGAGTGCCATTTATTTGGCAAAGAACCAAGTGTATCATGCGAGGACCAAACATATAGATGTGAGGTTTCATAAGATCAGGGAACTGGTTTCTTCTGGTGAACTATTACTTGAGAAAATTCACACTTCTGAGAATGCAGCAGACATGTTGACAAAGCCTGTTACTACAGACAAGTTCAAGCACTGCTTGGACTTGATTAATGTCTCTAGTTGCTAGATTGGAGATGCCTCAACTCAGCATCCTCGGTGGAGTTCCCGAATACATGTTCTTTTTTTTTTCTTTTAAGGGGTGAATATTTGCCAAGGTGGAGATTGTTAGAGTATGTGTGGCTCATATTTGCTGTGTGCATAATGGCAAGGAGGCAGATGCCGGAGCGGAGCCCGCGACGACATTTGCCTTGCGGGATTGATATAAAGGGAACGCTGATTAGTTGGGGGTGCGGGGGCAACGCCCCGCGGTACGGTACAGGGGTATTTTTGTAAATACGTCCATATTAGGGTTATATAAATACTTAAGATGTAACCCTATTCTATAATGGAAAAGAACGGCCGCTCGCTCTCGTCGATGTAGACACATTGCTGAACCACGTAAATCTATGTGTGTTATTTTCTCCTGCTTTCTTAATTGTTTGATTCCTTACTATTCACCATAATTGCTGCACGATCACAACACATACTTTTCTAGCACCAAATTCCGGCCTTGATGCCAGTAAGGCCTGGAATCATGAAAGTAAAATTGCCGAAAAACTGTGTTGACGCTTTGGTTGACTTGTGGCACGGTGTAGCACCAGGCAGCTATCACTCCATGAGGCCTTTTGAGCACCAACTTCACCTGGTGGTAGAAGGTGAGAAGATCAAACTAGTGGATGGCTTGGCCGATTGTCACAACGTCGATTGTGGCTTGTTGTGCTATGTCCCGGTGGAGCTCTTCTGTGGACATGGTGGGAGGGGTGCAGAGGTAATGAATGTTTGGGAGCTTGGCTGCAAATTCCAGCTGCTTTTGGCTTGTGTCTGTGGCGATCACACTCTTATAGATTCTGGCCAACTGAAATTAACTTTTGTTGGTAGTATCAATTTTTTCCCCGGTAAGCAAAATTGGTAGCAACTGTTTTATATCAGTTTTATAGATGCAATTTCTAAATGAGGAAATAATTTTGTCAAAATACTTGGGTATTGTTTAGTACATTTTGAGTTTCTTTTGGTCAGGTCTCGAGAAATTTGTCTTTCAGTTACGATAATTTAGATTGGATCTTAAAACTGTCTATGTAAATGAGATCATTTTAAACACAAATTGAACACAAGGTTTGTGCTTGTGAAACTTTCTTGAAAAACACATTACAAGAAATTTGATCTTAGCTATGAAACATATCAAATTCAATGGACACAACACTAATGCTCTGTTTGGTACGATGAAAAAGTGGGAGGGTGAAAAGTTGGAAGGATGGAAAAGTGGATGGATTAACTTTCCTTCCAACTCACCAAAATCAATACTTCCAAAATTGGACGGAAAGTGGATGGAAAGTTAATTATTTGTGTCGAGATGTATCTTATTTGTCTATATATCTTTTTATTTATACATATATTATGTATGCATTAATTTCATATAAAAATACAATAATAAAATATGTATTTATATATATATATATATATATTTAAAAATTTTAAAAATAAAAAATAAAAAAATTTAAATTAAAAAAATATTTTTCCCATTTTAATTAGGGGTGAAAATTTTTAATTAACACAATAACACGAATCGAATTCGACACGAATTTTATGACTCGAATTTGATTAACTCGAACACGAGCACGATACAAAAATAAACATGTCAGCTCGTAACTCGATACGATACAATTAGTTAAATGAGTCGAGTTAGGTGTGATTAATATTCGACACAAAGCCGTAATGACTTAACACGAATCTGACACGATACGACTCGATTGTCACCCCTAGCCAACACAAAAAAAAAAAAAAATTAGTCATTTTTATTTTCTATCCATCCAACCAAACACAAAAGAAGAAAAGTGAATCATTCATATTTTCTTTCCTTGAAGGATAGAAAGTGTATCTCTTTTACTTTACATCCTTCCAACTTTCCATCCTTCCTACCAAACGAATGATAAAAGAGGATCCAAATTAGTGTGTCCACCTCCAACCTCCAATTATCTCGTAATAAAATAAAAATATGTAAGAGAGAGAGAGAGAGAGAGAGAGTCTAACAGATTTTGCAGCCTGACCATTGTCTGTGCCCACATCCCATGCAAGGTCGTGAGTAGGTGTCTTGGACGCAATGAACTGGAACAATTCTTCTGGATAACTCGACCGAGAACCCGTGTATTGTTTTTTTCGTTTAAGGTACAAATTTGTCATCTTTCCCTCGCCGTAGATAGAAAATTATGTGCTATACAATGTATTAGGCATGTCTATATGTATAGTATTTCTATAAAAATATAAGATATGGTTGATGTCATTGTCTTGACATGTGACACTCTAAGTTCTTCTTTCTTATATATATATTGGAGTCGTCAAAGTTGTTTACAGACCAAGAAGCACAATTCATCTTGGAATCCTCCACATACACCATTTACCAGTTGGACTGGATGTCAATTTAACAACTTATTTTCGTATAATTCACGTACAACTTCATAGTTGCTAATTTGTTATTTGGTCAGCTTAAGCAAACATGTATTTTAAAGGGCGTGATTTGATTCATAAACTCAATTCCTATAAATAATGGCCGTTATTTAATAATATCAAACGAATTATTTACACAGTCTCTTTCTTTAATATCCTCTATTTATGATGATTAAATTGGATACTGACATAAGTAACATGAAATCTTTGTTGAATTAACCGGTATTATCAAGCATAAGTTGCTTTGATCGTTCAAATCCAATCATGGGACTCAACCAACAAATCTAATAATTGGAATAATGCTACCTGTGTAGTAAATAATAATAGTCCAAAGAAAACATTGCTTCAGATTTTTCTTTGTTTGCGTCATTCTTTCATTCACAATTTTCTTCATATTATTACGCTAGCAAACATCGACCGGGCAGCCTCAAGAATCACTCATGACGTAAACAGTGACAACACTGTGAGTCTGTAGCAAAGACCAATTCAACACTGGGACAACTCGACACCAAACATTGGAAAAGTCAGTAAGGTTGAGTTTGTCTTTGTTTTAGGTTCGAGTTCGACAAACTCTTGTAAAGTTTGGCATGATTATCCTTCTTATTTTTCACGATCCAATCATATTTTTTTGTTAATGGACTGAGTTTTTTATGTTTATGATTACAAAGTAAATTTTGAATGTTTTTTATGTTTATGATTACTAAGATGGGACCAACCACCTTCTGATATGCTTTCCCTACCTGTTTTTTTTTTTTTTTTTTCACAATTTTAATTTTATTACATAAAAAATAAGATATATGGAACCATTCATCCACTTTCCGACATCTTTTATAGCCTTTCATTGTTTATCTTTTGCAAATTTTTCAATAAAAAAATTTACCACTTGTATATAGGTTATTATTTTTGTTTAAATAGGTTGATTGCATCATTAATTAAGATTAAAATAACACGCAGACACACACACAAAGTACAATAGAGAATACCAACAATAAAAACAAGCTTAAATTTCAGTCCCCGGTGGAAGTTACTTTTAGCTCCTTGAAAAGTTTCAATAATATAATTCAAAGGGTAACTCAAGTCATGATAGAGACGATTTATAAATTTGACATCCTGAATTCAAATATTGGTAATTTTTTTAGGGTCAGATCATATAAAATTTATTTCTCATGAATATCTTAGTCTTAGTGGTGTGGATAACCTATTTTTGACCGATTCGAAGAGAAGATAAGTCAAGTTGTGCGACCTGGACACCCATGACCGTTGAAAAAAAAATGTTTCAACAGTACTGGAGAAGCCTACTAATATTCTTTTGAGAGTAATTTAGAAGCTGGTACAAAAATTTAGGCTTATTTGAGCTAAACTACTTTAAAGAAACTTATTTGATCCTAAGTATTATTTTATGAAAAAGGCATAAAAATGTATTTATTACTCTATTACTCTCTCTCCCTTACTCTTTCACTCTCTCTTTCCTATTTTCTCTCTATCTATTTCTCTTTCTCTCGTATTGGTAATTTTGTTTAAATATGTAAATATTTGATTTAATTTTTTCATCTCTCTCACTCTTTTTCCCTTTATTTTCTTATTCTCTCTCCTTATATTAACGTTACACAACACAGTTACACTAATCAATTGCATCAATCAATTATAATTATCTTATAATACACTAAACAATTATTTATGTATTCTAATAAACTATAGAGTTACACTAAACAATTATACGAAATTACAACACCAACTCAATTTGTCATTTTGTTATTTACATAAATCAAAAAGTTATATTAATTAGTATTACGACATGGTTACATCAATTATACACACTAAATTGAATTTATCATTATACAAAGGACTTTACTATTTTACTAACTTTGATATATATGATTGGTGTAACAATGTGACGATATTAAATAGTGTAACTATTTAGTTTATGTAAACAACTAAATGATAAATTGGGTTAGTGTTTATAAATTTGTGTAATTGTTTGGTTTATTAGAATGCATGAGTAACTGTTTGGTATATTATAAAATAATTGTAACTAATTGGTATAACTGATTAGTGTAATTGCGCTGTTATAATTTGATATAAATAGAGAGAGAGAGAGAAAATAGGGAGAGAGAGAAATGGTTAAAGAAAATAGGGGTAGAGAGAGAAAATAGGGGAGAAAGATAAAAAAATAAATCAAATATTTACATATTGAAAAGAAAAATAAATTATCAATGATAGATATAGACAAAAAATAGGAGAGAGATAGTGAAAGAGTCTAATTATATTTTTACATATTTAATTAGATATATAATTGTCAATAAAAAATGCATAATTTAAGGGAAGGTATTTAGATAAAATAATTTTGATTTTATTTGAATTTTGTACCTAAACACAACATGTTTTATTAAAATTGAACTCAATAGATACATTTTTCTTCAAATTTATACTACTTATAAATATCAACATCTGCGAAAATTTTTTGATTTCCTATTTTAGCTCTAATTATTATAATAAAGTCAATTATATCCACTAATATATATCTTTTCATCTCATTTTTATTTTTACCCCCTTTTTGAGTTTCAATTTATTTTGAACTCTTTTATAAGGACTTTTAAATTCTTTCTAACTCATTTATTAGTAGTACAGTTGCATACAATTTTATATTTCTAGGTGAAAAAATAAAATCATAAATATATATAAAATTATTATACAAATTGAATTACATGGTCAAAAATATATTATATTTTTTTTGTATGCAATAATATAGTATTATGAAAGATCTAATCAATCTATTTAAAAAAAATAAAAATTAGTAATAATTTTATTTATACTACTTATAAATGTCAGTATCTGCGAAAAACTTTTAACTCATTTATTAGTAGTACAGTTTCATACAATTTTATATCTCTATGTGAAAAAATAAAATTATAAATATATGTTAAATTATTATACAAATTGAATTACATGGTCAAATATATATTATATATAAATTTTTTGTATGCAATAATATAATAGTATTATGAACGATCTAATCAATCTATTTAAAAAAATAAAAATTAGTAATAATTTTATAATATAATTAGTGTGCAAATTTTTAAAAAGTTTGAGAGATACTTAAATAAATGATAGATTAAGTACTCAAAATTTATTGAATAAATTAATAATTAAATTTAGTAATAATTAAAATATATTAATAATTTAATTTTAATTTATTATTTACGTGTAACGCACGTGGTGCATTTCTAGTAATTATAAAAAATAATATCCACAACTTAAAAAAACCCTTCTTTTTGTTTTCTCTCCAAAATTAGGCACCCAACACCGATGTTTTAAAATCCGGCCCAATCCAACTTGTTGACACAGAAACCCGGTGACTTGGACACTAAATCGGGCCTATTTAATAGTTAGACGGTTGGACCATTACGGTCTCTCTTTACTGGAGCAGATTTTGGCGTTGGCCAAAACTACGTCGTCCTACTAGCTGTTAAAATAAACCGCCAGCTGCACCTCACACATCTTCACAATCAAAGCCACATCCTCACACATCTTCACAATCAAAGCCATGACCGGTGGTGTTCCGATTCCAAACGATTCCTACAAGTTAGGGTTCATCGGAGCTGGCAAAATGGCCGAGAGTATTGCCCGAGGCGTCGTCAAATCCGGAGAATTACCTGCTTCACGAATTCAAACTGCCCATCTCAATCCGGGTCGCCGAACTGCTTTCGAGTCCTTAGGCGTCAAAGTTCACGATCACAATAATCAGGTAATCCTCTCTCTCCCCCTCTCACACACGCACACAAATTTATAACTCCATGTTTGTGTTTTTTGTGAATTCCTGTTGAACCCATGTATGAACTGGTTACAGATTTATGCTGTATTTGGTTGATGGTAATGGAATATGGGCTGGAATTCATTCTAATGCTTAGCTGGTAGTAATAAAACTTTATTCCGTTATTATAGAATGTCTATTCCCACCCGTGGAGGATTATTGGTATTACCATTACCGACAATCGCCTTAATTAAGGCACGACCGTCGAATAACAAATTCCGAATTTCGGAAATTAGTTTCTTAGAATAGTGAGAAATAAATTTCCACTAGTCTAAGACTAACGATCGAAGTTGAAGAATAACAAAGAAATTAGAATATATCTCTAGAAAATGAGGGAAGAAAAAGACTTTTATTATTATAGAGAAATCTAAGTTACCAGTTTATAATCAAAAGCTTACAAAAGAGAAAACTTATTAGAGGAAAAAAACTTACAAGAGAGAAAGTAGGAATAAGGTGGTAATTGTTGTTGGTGATTTGTGTTTTTGTTGGCTTGGTGATTTGGGTTGGGAGGTCTATTTATATGTGACTAGAGAAGGCTTAAGGTAGGTTCAAGAATTCTAACTTAGTATGTTGGTAGAAGGCTAAAGAAGGATACCAAGTGTAAGTATGTTCTATAAGATTCTAGATATTAAAATTCTCAAATACATTAATCCTCACTACGTCCCTCAAAAAATAAAATATTTAAATAAATAATTACCAAAAGTTTATTTTAAATTTTTAACAAACAAATCAACAAATTGATATTATGGACCCTTTTTTTACATGGGTAGTTATCAAACTTTATAGGACTCACTTGCATACTTGGTGGTTTATCATGATGGTTACATCACTTGACTTTGTTGACGTGGTGTTACCATTACATCTGCGGCCATGGTCTTGGGGTGGGTTCCACTATCTCATAGTTATCAGCCAGAGCAATTTACTACACTGTTGGTTAATATATGTACCATTGTATATATCCAGGATTATATGTGAATTAACAAAAGGTTATGTTTTCCTTTATAGAGTATAACATAATGATTTCATGGAAAAATAGTTTTCTAATTCGATTATTATCCTGGCCCCTATTCCTTCCACATGAATTATGTGTGCATGGTGATTTTGTATATATTTGCAATTCACGGAATAAACAATTCCTCCTCTCCTCTCACTCTCCCTCTCCCCTGTTCCCCCCCCCCCCTCCAACCCTCACTTAGAAGTTAGAGAATTATGGGAAATTATAAGACTGCAAAAATGTTTTTATCTCCTTGGAAAACAAGCGTGAATGAGTCTACTGAATGAAAAATTGTTTTGGTAATCTAGTAAACCAGAATTTTTAAAATTAGTAAAATGGGGAGAGAAGGGCTCCTAAACTTCTCCCCAAAATTTGATAATTTTATACATAATAGGCCCCTGCGATGAATGGGACTTACAAGCTCTCCCCTCCACCTTGCATTCCTCATTTATCACCCTTTTCTCCCCAGGTTCCTCATATCTCATCCTTCACCTTCTCTCCCGCCTAGCCACTTGGGAAGTTACAGAGTTGTGGAAAGTTGTACAGGATAAAATCTGCACTTTGAAAAAAAAATAGATAAATGGAAGTTATTTGATGGAATGGGGAAGAGTGGTTCCATCGAACAAGTGTTAAGTGTTGATTGGATTAATTTCTTTTGTAACTAAATAAATTAAAAAAAAATTAAGAAAATGAGGGAAGACTTTCCAAGCCCTGTCCCCCTAATCTGTTACATATTTATTATGCATATGTATAGATGCCTAAAAGTTACTTTTCTTATTTTTGTTTCTTTCTTGTTTGTGTCAAAGTATACGAGGATCTGGTAATTGGACATTGGATTGAATGTTATCAATACATTATGTCTTGATGATAAAATATGGTAATTTTATTTAATATCATGACTGAAAAAAAATCTAATAATAAATTTTTATATGATTTCCTCTGACCAGGTAGTTGAAGACAGCGATGTTGTCATCTTCTCTGTGAAACCTCAAATTGGTACTTGTTGCTTTTACTTGTCTCCGTATTCCACTCAATACTAGGTCATTTCACTTTACATCTATTAATCTATACTATATTATTAAGCAAGAGAGTTGAATTGGTGGCATGGTATCTCCTGCATTTGGCATAATCCTTGAATGCGGCTCGCTACTCCCCATAGCCCAAAGAAGTATCTGTCTCTCTCCCTCTCACACTTTACATGTGCACTTGCATAGTGAGTGTCTTACCTCTATTAAGTGAGTGAGGGACTTTTGTCTCTCATATGGTAATGTCTATTTAAACGCATTGCAATACCTTTTATAACCCTGATTAATAATATCATCAAAATTAATGGAAGGACAGAATGTCAAAACTAACCATTTAAATTCCATGTATCAACATAAAATGGGACCTTCCTATCTGTCCGGAGCTTCCCACTTTCTCATTTCTGTCTATATTTTTTCTCATTTTTCTCTATACTTAGACAACGATTCACCCACGTTGTGTGTGCTTTTATGAAGATTGAGATTCGGTCCCAATTCTTAATGGAGAAAAGGGAGAAGAAAGGAATCATGTGGGCTTATTTGATTTCAGCTTGGAGAACAACTTTAACAAACATATGAAGAAAGCAAATGCAAGCATCAAACCTGAAGACTTTAGTACGGACATGTATCATTAACTGTGAGCACTTCAAGCATTAGGGACCAGTCTCAAAATTATAGGGATTTAGGATTAGGCTTAGCCTTAGTCCACAGATTGTCTAAGAATGGTCCGAAATCTTCTAAATGTCCGATAAATGAAACAGCAGAATTGGAACTGAACTAGCTAGTTGACTTAAAAGATCTGACTGTTTGGCTAACTGTTGGTGCCCCCATTATAAATACCTATACTGGCTTTCAATGTGTAATTTTTGATGGTTTAAAAGCTAATATTCCACGCATATTAGCTTACACCCCTGGGGGTGATTTGAGAGATTTTTGAGAGATTTATGCACTTCCCTCCCCATCTAAGTCTCACTTTAAGATTCTGAAGCACAAAAGCAGCAATGAGCATCTGTCATTTGAGGTGAATTGCTATATTTTTGTAATTTTAGACAATTTTTTTACTACAACTTTGACCCTACCCACCAGGGAGAGGCCTGGCTGAAGGAGAGCTGTGAGTTCTTGAAAGCCATAATTGTGAGAAGGCTAGAACCATGGTGAGTTTTCAAGTCCTTAATTGAGGTGTAGTAGTGGTGCTAGGAGGTTTTGGCGAGTCCAGTGAAAACCTGTTATGGTATTGTTCGTAGGCCAGCCTAGGAAGAAACCCTCAACAACTATTTCTTGAGTGTGTTGCAAGGGATCTTTAGGTGGGTTGGAAGTAATTGTCAGAAGACTTGTAAGTCCTAGAAAAGTAAAATGTCTAGGCTGGGTAGTGATTTTTCATTTTGTAAAGCACAAGGTTCTTGGCTGGGCCTACAAAACTCATTAGTTGATTGTGGTGCAATTGAGGTGGTTGGCAGAGTGGATGTAGGCTTGAGCTACTAAGCATTGTGTGTTTATTGGTGATTTTGGTGTTCATTAGTATTTTGATATATGCTTTACTTGCTATTCTTGCTAAATTGATTATAATCACATGTTGAAACGACATAGTTGACTTTTACTAAATATCTGAACGGCATTTTGAGAAGAGGCATAAATTGGAATATTAAGTACACATTAGATCGAGCGACGTGAACTAGAATTAAATTCAAATAGAGAAAGCAAAATTTTTAAGCAATTTATGAAAGACATTAAACTAAATAAGCACATACATATTGGGGGCTTCTGCAGTTAGGCCTAATTGACTAGCTCAATAGTTAGTCAACCAGACTTAATTGACTAAAATATGACCTAGTTGATCAAGGTCCACAGAGGAAACTGTTTTTTGTGCTGAAACTGTTCTATGCCAGTAAGCTGCTTGATCAACCTAGGGTTAACTTTTTATTACTTGCCCTTAATCAGCATTAGAAATTCAATTCAGAGTAACTAACAAGTGTTATTTGAGGCGTAAGGTGCCAAAATCTCCTAGGACCTAGGTATGAGGTGTAAGGTGAGGTACTGGATTAATGGAAAAGGGATGCCTGTTACAGATAACAAGCAAATATTTTAACACTAGCAATTTTTTCAACACAGGCAAAGTCATAAGAATTAGTTGTTCCTACTTAATCAACTAAACAATATAAATAATCAAACAAAAGCGAGCAAGCAAAGCAATCTAACAATTAAATTGCTCAAGAATACAATTCAATTGAATACACAATTAAATAGATTAACCAATCGAGTTCAAGGATCGCATCAAACACAGTCATGCACACTTTAATGGATGAGATTATAGCAGATTGAAATATCAGAAATAAAGATTAAAAATAGCTTAATTTTTTTTTTTCTATGATTGGAATAGAAGAGGTAACAATGTAAAAAGTCTGGCAAATGAGAACAAAAGATTAGATCCATAGAAATATCAATAAAATGAAGTCTGGGGGAATAAGTTTGCTAAGTGCTTTTTTTTTTTGCAAAGTTGGACTGGAAACCGGAAAAGGAGAATGGATGGAGAAGACCAGCTCTAATATGGGGATATGCATACTTGAATCAAAATCATTAGATCTATGGCCCAAAATAAATCACTGAAGGTAAAAATAAGTATCTCATGCCTTACGCACCTTGGGCTTAAGCTCAAGGTCAGGTGCAGGAGACGCAGCCCCTCAACTTTGTCTTGGTGAAGTCACTTCGCCTTAGGCCCAATAAGGCACTTCAGGTGCGCATCACCTTGCCCTTAGACACGTTTTTCACATCACTAATCTGGATACCCTAGCCTCAAATCGAAAATATAGTACGTGATAATAAGGAAAAGCATTAAAAAAATTCATGAGTCCTATTCCATCCTACCTCTGGGAATCTTACATACTGTTCAAAGGGTTGCAATTATTTTCGTTAGCTTATTGTATCTCATTTAATTATAAAATTTTCTTTTAGACATTTATGATTTTTCTTTCTTTTAATGTATAACGAATTTTTATATCTGGATTTTTATGAATGAAAGTATCATGGAAAACACTTTTATGATTTTTTTGTTCACACTAATTAGCAAAGATCAAAATGTCGTTTCGGTGTATTGTTTCGGTCACCTAAGAAACGAAAACGTTTCGACGTATTTCGGAAACGTTTTGACCCGTTTTGGAAACATAATGAAAAAAGTAAAAAATTTAAGAATTATTTTTTCAAAACATTGGTCAAAATATATTAAAGTATCTTGAAATATTCCAAAACAATTGTGTAAATATATTGAAACATTACAGAATACCTCGAAACATTATGAAACACCTCAAAGTATTATAATTTTACTTCCATCATTGATTTGATTCAGTTTCTTTGGAAACGGAAACGTTTCGACTGTTTCGAAATGAAATTTTGATCCTTATTAATTAGCATTATAATGTTTTGTGGCATTGCAGTTAAAGATGTGGTCTTGCAGTTGAAGCCACTATTTTCCAAAAAGCAGCTTCTTGTGTCAGTTGTTGCAGGAGTTAAATTAAAAGATCTACAGGTTTGTGCACCTAAGCTTTTGTGATTGTCCTTCTCTGCAATGCCTTTACAGAGATGAGTTCACTAAGGCTCAATGCAAACATAAACTTTTAAAGGCAATGGTTCATTAGATAGAACCGACATATCCTTATTGGTTACAAGTTTTTCGGAAAGTCCTTATCTGTCATGTTATTTTTCTTATGTGTAGAAACTGTCTTGCACTTTATAAGCTATTCTTGTATACCACCATTGCTTATGCTTCTATGAAGATTAGTTTACTGAATAAAATAGAAAGACTGCAATTTTAGCTTTTGTGTGTGAATGTTGTTCCCACAAACGAGAAAATGAAAAAACAAGCGAGAATTGTAGTTAGTGGCTTTTATGTTAAGAAGGCTGCATCTTGAGCTTGTGATGAAGGGTGCCTCATTTTGCAGCCTTTTTCAATCATGATTAGATGACACAATCAGGATTGTCCATGTCTTGGGGGGAACTTATTCTATCATGTAACATCCCTTTGTTATCCCTTATAAGCTATTTAACATAAAGATACCAATTATTGATTGGAATAGTGGCTTGAAATGTTTTTTATTTGCCTTTCTACTTAAGTAGTCTATTATTAGAAGAAAAAAGATCCGTTTTTTTTAATAAAATAGCGGAAATGAATAAAGCCTTTTTCCCACAAAATACAGAAGCTTATTGAGGGGTAAAGTTAGACCAAAACTGACTTGGAATGAGATATTAAAAAAAGGATGTGATATTTCATATCTTGCAGTTTCACATAAATTATGACTCGTGATAGAACAGGATGGTGGGACAGGATTCATGTGCAGCTAACCCCAACTCAACCAAGCCTTAACCCAACTTCCAATTCAATTCGTAGTCTACTTCAAATTGTTGGGAAAAAGCTTTGTCTGGTTGAGTTATGCATTAATTTTGCCACTTGCTTCATTGCTTTTGCTTAGCCTCTGTGGTCAATCCCTGTTACGATATTCATGTATGCAATTAGTTATATATCAATTAAATACTATTTATTGCAGTTTTAAGTTTCTGACAAGTTCTAAAATATTGTTATAGTAATTTTCATGTTTCATCTAGGAATGGGCTGGTCACAGCCGATTTATTAGGGTATTGCCAAATACTCCTGCTGCGGTAGGCGAGGCAGCATCTGGTATGAATTCTTTACTTTACCCCCTGCCTTATGGTGTTGATTGTTGCGTTTCTGAGACTTGTTGGTGGACTCAGTGACATCAATCTACTATCATATTCACAATGAGGACGATTGATGTAGCATGTTGCATATTAATCATCTTTAACTTTGACCAGTACAATGTCCATGGGCTAATTGTACAGAGCTTTTGTAGCATTATATACACTCTATAGAATTTATTATAGAGAATACAGCTATGAAGATACCTGTGATATTTTCAAGGACTCAACACTATTATGGTTTAGTTTATCCTCCGTATTTTTGTTTTTCCTCTTTCGTTTGTGTTGGTTGCCTCACAATGCAGAGTTGGATAGAGGCCTTTCGGTGACTGTGTGATTATGTGTGTGCGTGTGTGGATGAGGTTAAAGTTATGTGGAGATGTTGATTCAAAGTTCTTGGAAGAGATTGAGGCTCATTTTCCATTGGAAATTTTACCTTGCTATGATGGCAGTTGAATGCAAATTTGGAACTGTCTATATTTCAATTTTCTTATTTCCTGAAAAATTAGCATATTAAATCCATGTTATGTGGACAGGATCTCTGCTTGGAGGTCTGAAGTTGTCTAGGCTGAATATTTCTCTTCATGGTAATCAGAGAACAATGTGGCAGTTTGGAAATAGTGACCTAAGTTTGAAGGCTTGCAATAAACATGAGTTTAAAATCCCCTTCTTTTGTGAAACAATTGTATAGATGAGGATAGAAAAATTGATTACTTGAGGTGTAAAGATTTCAAACATTGGCAGATGTGTGTTAGAACTAACTGGACTATCTCCGACTTTTCAGAAAATGTAATGGTGAATTTGTACCTTTTTGGTGCATTCTTGTTTCTATAATATGGGAATTGTCAAACACGTTAATTACTATTTAATTGATACGGGTTGACAAGAAAAGTTAAAAAAAAAAACAGAAATATTTTTCTGTTTTCCCCCGACGTTTCAATTCTATATCAGGTGACTAAGTTCACGTTTGCTTTTTGACTCTATTGACTTGTGCTTGGATCAAATTTTTAGCTCATGATTCTATGTTGTAATTTCCGCATTGAGTTTGTACAAATTTTAAAAGAATTAATTGTTCCTAATCTGCATTCATATAGTTATGAGCTTGGGGGCAGCTGCAACAGAAGAAGATGGGAAACTTATTGCTGGTTTATTTGGAGCTATTGGCAAGCTATGGAAAGCTGATGAGAAACTGTTTGATGCAATTACTGGTCTGAGGTATATTGCTTCTTTCATGATTTAATAACCTTGTTAGCTGATGTTTATTCCTTTATACTTTTATTGTCCCCCTCCCCCCCAAAAAAAAAAAAAAAACCACCACCACAAAATAAAGTGAAAAAAGTGAGGACATTATATGCCGGTGGGTGGTGCACAAGATAAAGTTGGTTGTGGGAGCTAATCCAATCTGTGTGTGTGGAATAGGCACACTTGCACAAATCTGATATGGATAATTCTCTCTTTGAGTGGATAGGGATGGGCTAATTTTAACTTGTTGTAATGAGACTATTCCCTCTTAACTGCTCAGTGGCAGCGGGCCGGCATATATATATTTAGCAATAGAAGCTCTGGCTGATGGAGGGGTAGCTGCAGGTCTACCACGTGAACTTGCACTTGGTCTAGCTTCTCAAACGGTATGTTAAGCTGATACCTACATAACATAGCTATAACTCATTAATGCAAAATATGGTTATATTTTAATTTAATAATTGGATAATAGCACCTTGTCTTCCAGTTCCTGAATAAGATTGGAAGCTTTTATAGTATGTGTTTTAGGTTTTTGCAACAGTTACTCCACAGGCGGACAATTTCCTTTAAGTTTATGATATTCTCCAAAGTTAAATACTTAGCTTATTCAAAGTAGATTCTGAATAATTGACCCTCTGTGTATGACTGATTTAAGATGCAACGATTGCGGAATTGAAAGCAATTGGAACATTCCTAGATTGAAGACAATTAAAAGTCCATTTTTTCAGTCCATTTCTCTTCTCATCCTTATTATGAGGAATGGAAACTTTTCTCCTTTCATGTCTAAAATGCAAGATACCAGAAGAGGAGGATATTTCCATAGTTGAGTCTGCTTGGTTTTGCTTTGGCTCCTGGACTGCCAAATATAGTGCTAGTCAATAGCAAGAACTATACCCTCCAACTTGATATCAACTTTAAACTTGCAATATTTAATTTGCAAAACTCAGTTCTGGTAATTGGAAAAATTGAATCATGTGCAATTAGGCTCAATAGTGATGGGAGTTCTTAGAAGTTTATTCTTTTGGCTTCTATTTCCCTGGTCTTGGATGTACAGCTATGTTTGAGGGTGCCGAATGAGATGCATCGCTCGTGGTCCTCAATGTTCCGACTCGTTATTCTAACCTGTCATATGCCCAGGCCGTTCTTCCCTTTGCACATAAAGGTGATTGGCCATTCATCAAGGCCCAGAAATCTATATCTCAACCAATGGATTGGAACCTACATCTTTTGTGTTCCCTAACCCAATGAAGAGGTTTCTCTTTCTCCCTGTGGGTCAATTTGCAAAAGAAAATTTTTGGATAAGTGGGTCACAGCATGATTGATATGCATTTTACGTTGCATATTCAAAATTCCATCCCTTCAGATATTAAACTCTGCCAAAGCCCACCTTTTATTTTATCCTAGCTGCCCACGGAATGTTGTGTTCTTCACTTCTTACACCTTTTGTTGTGCAGTGATGTTTTGATTGATGTCGCATATCATATCATGAGGATAGCTGATCACTATAAAAGGTTTAGGAGAGTAGCAAGCTACCTTTTCTGTTCCATCCCATGCAAGGAAAAGAACTAGAATGGACTGTAGATGTTATTCATGGTAGGTTGAGAGTTTCATTCTCACGTTTTGCCAACCTGGCTTAATCAAATGACCACCACTTAGATCAAATGCTTTCTTTCATATCTTATGCTGCAATTCTTTTTAAACGTTAACTTCAGTGGAAAATTGTTGTATGCCCCTAAGATACTACTACCGGCAGACTTCACTATACTCTATTCAAATTGTCTACGTGCTATCATTTCTTGGGTATTTGTCTATATCTTGTTAATTCAATTTCATTCAAATTATATCCAACTTCTACTACTAATGATTTTCATTCTTTCCTGTGGATTCTTTTTCTATAAGATGCCTATCCGCTTCCCATCAGGGATGGAACTAGTATTAAACCATTAATTAGATAGACTCTGTTCAAAGTGTGATCCTGGTGGGCCTGAAAAGACAAACATCATGCTCATTCATGATCTTAATAATCATGATCATCTTTGTGCTGGCAACTTGAAATGTGCATTTTTTTCCTTCACAGGTACTAGGGGCAGCATCCATGACAACTAACTTAGGGAAGCATCCAGGTCAGCTCAAAGATGATGTTGCATCACCTGGTGGGACAACCATTGCCGGTATTCATGAATTGGAGAAGGGTGGATTTCGGGGGATCTTGATGAATGCTGTTGTTGCTGCAGCAAAGCGCAGTCGCGAACTTTCCTAATGCTAGTTTATGATTGATGTTTCTGGGCTGTCATTGCTGGCAAAGTAAATCAAACTATTTCCCTTCTATTTTTCTAGTTCATATTTTTTGTCCGATTTTTTAGATATTTGTTTACGTCAGGAAATTTTTGAGAAATACTGCAATTTCTGTCAGGCAACATCATGCATTGTTTGTTGCAAGGAAAGACTTGTTGATCGCCCAATGTATATTTCTTTTTTTTTTTTATAGATTTTTTTTGAAATATGTTCAGTGTTTCCACCACTGCTAGTGTATTTTATGTCTTGAGAAACAATTTGAAGGTAGTGCATTCCTCCCGGGTTTCCATTTGGTAAGCAGCCAAATTTTGTTATTCAGTACTTTTTTTTCTTCATTCACCCACACGCGCCACCACCAGGACCAGAGGCTGGAAAGCCATACAAAGTGTTATGCTCTTCTCAGCCGTCTGGATATGCTTTTCGAGGACACGATCTGTTGTGATAATGTGTGCTTGTTTTTTTATTTTTTGTGTATCGTGTGTGTATTTTTTGGTGTATTAGTTTGTGTTTTAGTGTATTAGTGTGTGTGTGTGTATGTTTTGATGTATTAGTGTGTGTGTGTATTTTTTAGTGTATTAGTGTGTATTTGATTTTATAATTTACATTAATTAATATATGTATTTAACACATTTATTTATGAACGGATTTAGCGAGTTAATGGATAATAAGTTAAAATTATCATCTCTAAATGAAACCCTAATGGATAATAGTGTTCCTGGGAGCTGAAGGATTTCTCTAATTTTTTTTTTAGTTCAACGGTTAAGGATGTTTATATTAGTTTATGTAGACTTTAATTAATTTTCTCTTCTGTCCGATCAAAAATAGGCCTTCAATGTCAAGACTAAGGTGTTCATAAAAGATAAATTTCTCATGACCTAACTTTAAAGAATTAACAAAATTTAAATTCAGAGCATCTGAGTTTATAACTCGTCTTTGTTATTATTTGAACTACTGCTTAAATTTATCTTTCTTATTTTGTGTTTGTCCACAAGTCGGATATGGTTTAACGTAGTTATTTCATCAATTCTGCCAATAAAATGAGGAATCTGCAAATTATTTTGGTGATCAAAAAGAGTTTTTATATTTAACTAAAGGGAAAGGAAGAATCCACCATTTGATCGAAACTTCAAAGGCTATTTTTGTCTTTTTACCCTAAGCTAGGATTATTCCTCCCTTCTCAAGAGAAAAAGATATCCACATTATGTTATATACCAAACTTGTGGTGGGAGACCTCGTGTATGTAATGTAACTAGTATGTTAAAAGTACCAAGAAGAAATCCTTTTTGCCTTTACTCATCACAGTTAATTAAATTGGCCATATTGTTACTGTTTTAGTCTCTCTTTCGTAGTTTCACTTTAACTTGTGCATGACATGTTTTCTTGTTGAGGGTTAAATAATAAGTTCATCTGTTCAATAGAGAGTTGTCGGCTTGAAACACTTATCCAATCCAAATACTCTCCAACAATACTATTTTTTTTTTCTTTTCTCACTTTTCCTTAATGATAAAATATTAACAGTATATTATTGAGCGACCAACTTACATAGAGTCGATCTCACTTCATTTAATGGCGGGAGATCCTTCATTGAAAAAATGCACGAAAGATTGTAAATGAGTATCTATTGAGTTAAATATTTATCTTTTTATTGAATAATAAAATCAAATAAACATACTTGGTGTAATAGTGTTTGTGTGTGTATTTTGATGTACTAGTATGTATGTGTGTGTGTGTGTATTTTGATGTAATAGTATATGTGTGTGTGCGCTTTGGTGTACCGGTGTGTGTATTTGGTGTAATAGTGTTTATGTGTGTACTTTGGTGTAATTGTGTGTTTTGGTGTAATAATGTGTGTCTATTAAGAGTTTTTATGGGTTTAACTAAATCTTTTATAAATTCAACTCATTATAACTCATTTAAATGTGATTTAAAAATAGATTGGATTTATTTTGACCCAATTCAATTTAATCTAACTCATAACCGACCCAACCCACTCATTTACCACCTCAACCTACACCCATAGTCTTAGAGTCATTATATAAATTGAGTTATACATTCTATCGAACTAACCAATTTCATGTAGTAATTAATATATTGCCAAGCAAGTGTGAGATGCAATATATTACAATAATGCTACTTGATCTAATCATGTGACACGATTTAGTGATTTAATTCATTATTATCGTTAGATTAATAATGGATCCTATTCAATATAGGGGTGTACTGTTAACCCAATAGAAATATTAAATTTGGTCAACCAAGCATTTTAGATGATTAAGCTAAAGTAGCAATACTCCACTATAGAAAAAGTATATGTAGGTGAATGAAAAAGCTCCTATTACATTGGAATTAAACCTACTTTATCGACTCATGTCCAACAAATTTATTGGGTCTTTGGTCTATAAGAAGGAAAACAAAGTTGTACCTACCGTACAAGGCTTCCAACAATGATAAAATTTGCAATTAGAGGAAAATATTACGCAATATTTGTGAGCTCCTCTAAGCGATGTTTTATTATGGCCTCGGCTTTGCGAGATTCTGCAGTAATGATAGAGAGCTGCTTTATTGCTTTATCCTTCTCTCGAGGCTATTATAAAGTAGAAGATTCTTAAATCTCTAAGATTAAACAGTACAAATACTTTTCACCAGCTAAGTAGCACACCTAAGTTGCACAAGTATATTCTTAAGCTTCACTCAACTATATATAATCCAATTTCGAGGGTTGTATTAGCTCAAGTCCAGACAAATAAATCAAACTTTTGGGATTCTTCCTGTGCTAGTGTTTTTCTGCATAGCAGACGCTCTGTCCCTTTTTTTTTTTCCCTCCAAAAAGAATGCAGGTACTCTCTCTCTCTCTCTCTCTCTCTCTCTCTCTCTCTCTACTTTGTTCTTCTTAATGTTGGTGTTTGTTAATAAATTCATTATTCCAGTGATCAGCATTTCTCCCAAAAGATGACTATTTGTCCACTCTATGGATAGAGTGAACAGATTGATAGGCTTTTTACAGATTATGATTGTCGCACCTTGATCATTTTCATTGCCAAAATACCAGCCCATTCAATTCTTTTTCTAAGTTCAATGTTTTTGACTTTTTATAAACGGAGAATTGTTGTAACTTGAATGCATGCTATCAACCTCTAACCACATATATCTGTTAAACCCGGGGTTTATGTGGCCAGCTTGACTAAAAGTTAGGATGTGCAATGTGGATTTTCACTTCGTCCCTTATTCAACCATTGAACTAACCCGTGCCAATTTTTTAGGGCCAATGTTTAATACATCTTTTGTAGCTAAACTGGCAAGACACTGCAAAACTCACCACATCTGATGGTTTGTCATATGATGAGGGATTTCTTTCTTTCCTTTTGGGTAGATCTTATTCCGTTTCATAAGATTGTTGATGTGCTACGGTAAACAACCAGTATCCATACAAGCAATTTTTGGCTAGTGGAGTGGACTTGAAATTATATGGAGAGATTGAAAATATGCAATTTTATATCAATCATTTCTGAAAGATTCACAATGGTTATCGATAGAAGGTCTTTGCCCTCCATTTTTCTCCTTCTAACTAAACCAGTTTTACTCTCTAATCACTCACATGATCAGGTCCAATAACAACATTTCTTTCGAGATTCAAACATGGGGATCTCTAGGTAATAACCTATAAGATCCTCCCATTAGAGCTACCATTTAACTCGTTTAATGGTATATTAACACAAGCTCAGCAGGAGGGTATTAGAATTCTTACTTTGTTGTAGGGACTACACAGTATGATACTCGATACAAATATTTCCATGTGAAATATTTACTTCTCCATACTTATTTTTAATACTAAAGAATAATCTTCCCAGTTTTGGCTTAGTACTATTTCTTATGGTAATTCGGATGATGCACAAAAGTGTTTATGTAAAATTAATCAAGTATGAACTGAAATGGGCTCAACACAATCAAACATATAGATTTGGTGGTTCGGTTTGAGTGATATACTTCAAAGGAAATGGCTACAGTGGCCGGAGAGTTTTATTACTCAACAGGTGTATAATACTGAGATATAAGGCATACCCCCCATGTGTAGGCGATGTTTACAATTTATAGGCAAGTAAAGTTTCATAACGGCTCCGAGGGAGCCCTAGTTGAGACGTCATTCTTGTAGCAGGGAGCGGGGTAGTTTTGTGAGGTTGGCTTCATTCTTGTAACGGGCGAGGTAATCTCGTGATATTGGCGACATGCACTTGATGACTGTGTTCCACGGATTCACTCTACTTGGATGAAGATTCCCATATGCATTGATAATGGGTTGGGTCTCCCAAAAAAGTGGGCTTGACTTAACTGAAATTGTGATTGAGCCTTTGTTGACTTATATCTGTGATCTAGACCTGGTTTGCATTTGTAATTTGGATAGCCAGCCCATTATTAATTGTTTTTTTTTGTTGATCTTCTGTAGATATTCACATTCAATATCTCCCTGTATTTTAAAACATGTACGGTATATGATACAGTGTATGATGTACTTGACCCCCTCTAAAAATTTCAAGACTAAAGTATAAAAACTAATGAGAACAGTCTAATATTGAAATGACAATATGTAATAACCTTCATCTTCCTAAAAAGTTATGTTTTTTTCCTAAAGTTTTGCACAAATCAAAGAATCTATCTAGTGGATAGAAATGGAAGAGAAAGAAATGGATAAGTTTATTTTAGAGAGCAAGAAGTAAAAATATAATATCTATACAGTTATAAAAAAGTTATTTTTACATGTAATTTTACTAAGGAATATGTTGTACTATTTGGATTGAAAGGTCAACTCTGAAATTCACAATCAATTTAATGAGTATAATAAATTAGATTTTCAAATTACATTCCTATAGTAGAGAAACGTTATTTGAATTTAAAATGTGGATTTGATCAATCACAATTATTGAGTAGATAATGGATCCCAATAAATACTAGAAACTACAGTAAAATCAATGATAATGATTAATTAAGTCCATATGTAAGTTTTTGTAGCATTACTCCTTGAAGTTTTATTCATTTAAAAAAAAACAATGCTATTGAGATCTAATAAGGAGACTTAATACATTGCAATCATTGAATTAAAGGTGTTCTAATATTAGACTGTGTTTATTGTCAATTTAATGGTCGGTATGCATTAGATTTTCAAATTAAATACAAGTAGTATTGTTCTTCAATTAGCAAATTACTATCAATTTTGTACTTATGACACGGCTATTATATTACATAAACTTATCTCGACTATCGAAGTAGTAGGCTTTGGAATAGTGTATTACTAGGGAGTCCTCATACAAAACACAATTTTTTATTGTGGTTAAAATGTTAAATATAAATAGATTGAGTTACTATGGCTAAAAAATTAAAATTTAAGTGGTCAGATTTAAACGATATAAACCATTGTTATGTTTTGTGTAAGATGGATTATATTTAATATTATATAGCTAGAATTGCATTTGATATACACAAATAGGGAGGATATCAAATTACCAACCTTTACTTAGCGTGCAATTTGGATTATTTTCCACTGAATTCTTGGCAGAATTATGTGAATGTAACACTAGTCTTGATATGTAAATGAACTTGGATACTCATCCAGACAAGCTACATTAGACTACAATATCTATCATAACCTGAGTAACAAAATTGCTTGCCTTGCTAGAGGTTGACGATGACTGATGACAAAAATAGTAGTGAGGAATGGGTCATATCGATTCGCAAAGCTGGTGCTGCCAACATGTCAAAAAATTTTCAAACTCGAAAGCAACATATGCGAATGGTCCCTGAGATACTGCAAGCTAACAAAGGTTTTCAGAAATACTTCGTACCACGGGTTGTTTCTATTGGGCCATACCACCATGGCAATCCCATGCTCCAGCAAGTGGAGAACTTGAAGCCGGTTATTGCAAATATGTATGTTTCAGACAAGGTAGAGATTCTCCAAGAATTGCCCGCCAAAATTCTGGAGAGGATTAGTGAGGTGAGGGACTGTTATGATGAGGGATCCATACAGAATTACAATGACGAGTCGCTTGCACAGATGATGATACTGGACGGGTGCTTTGTTTTGTTTTACATTCGTTGTGTTCATTACAGTAACGAAGACGATTTGGGGATGAAAAGTGTCTACATAGCCTTGGCACAACAGGACTTATTCTTGCTGGAGAACCAACTTCCATACTTTGTTCTCAAGGATTTGATGGACGAAAGAATACTCAAAAAGAAAGACTGGATGACTGTGATGAGATCGTTCATCGGAATGAACCGTGTGACCAAAAAGGAAAGAGGGAGAGAACAAGAAGAAGAAGAAGAAGAAGAAGAAGAAGATGTAGGCGTTTCACATCTTCTGGAGCTTCTACGAAAAAGAATGGTTGATTACCAAGACAGTGACATCCTTCAATTTAATCGCTACACATACCGTAATATAAAGGAGCTTATGGCAGTGGGAATTCAAATAAAACCTAGCGACTCAGGTAGCTTGACAGGCATACGCTTTCATTCTCACGGATCCTACGCAACCATGGCACTTCCGGCAATAATTGTTAACAACTCAACCAAGTCCAAGTTTTTGAACTTGATAGCCGATGAAATGAGTTCAGATGAGCCAAATGAATTATGGGTCACTTCTTACGTTTGCTTTCTAAGTAAACTCATTTCGCATCCTGATGATGTTAAAATGCTAAGTTCTGCAAAAATACTGGACAACTTCCTAGGCAGCGATGACGAAGTATCCAACCTCTTCCAGGAGATAGGCGGTGATTTGGTCCCAAATCCTTGTGCTTATGCAGATGTCAGATATGATATCCAACTCTACTACAATGAGACATTGTCAAGTTGGTTAACTCAGTTCCGTCGCTATAAAACCAAGGTTTACAGGTCTCAACTGATGGACGACTATTTCAAGAACCCATGGAGTATTTTAGCGTTAGGAGGAGCAATCCTAGCTCTTTTCTTCACTGGTGTCCAGGCCTACTTCCAAATCTGGTCTTCTCCTAGTGAGTGTGAGGGCCTCTGCAACTATATCAAAACCACACACCGCATATGACTTGATCCTTCCACGAGCAACTCAGATCTCCTTCTTCTAGTTTTGTATTTCATAAATCTTGACACATCTTGTATATATGTCACTCTTCTTACTGTAGTGCTAAGAACTTTATTGTTTTACATATCCTACTCTTGAACTAGTTATAAAGTACTACATCCTTTTTCTTTATTGTGACAGACAAATCTAGTTTGTCAAATCTATTGTAATAATGGTAGCTTTATAACTTTATCCTTTTCTTGCTACACTTATAAAGTACTCTATTGGAAAATGTCTGAAGCTAACCAGTTTAAGTGAACCTACCCAAGTTGCACAAAAATATTTCTACCGACTCCACTCAAGTATAATTAACCCAATTTCGATGGCTGTGTTCTCATGAATCTAGACACACCCAGTTTTTGAGTTCTACTGTACTGATGTGAGTTCTATTTCTTTATCCTTTTCTTGAGGAAGTTATCAAGTACTATATATTTCTTCGATGTCTAAGATATTTTGGGAGGTAGGAGAAGAAAGCGATACTTGAACCCAATTATGAATATTATATTCTCATAAATCTAGACAAATCCCATTTATCAATCCTACCGTACTTATGCACCTTTATTGCTTTATCCTTTCCTTAGATAGATGTAAGGTATTGGATTCTTTCGGGTGGAGCTATAATATTGAAAAATATTTTTTCAGCGTCATACCTCCTTTTTTTCTTTGAATAAATATTTAACATGTGTAAAAATTATTTATTTTAATTTATCATTTTCATAATCAATGATTAAGGATAAATCAAAAGAAGATCAATGACCTAAAATCATTTGGATGTATGGTACTCAAAAAGAAATTTCGGCACCATAATGCTATCTTATAGAGGCAGACAGATCCAAAATATCAGTCATACTCTACTGATGATGTGAGCTATTTTACTTTATCCTTTCCTTAAGGCCACTATAAAGTAGTATCCCAGTACATGTCTTAAGCAAATCTTATTTAACATTAATTATTCAACTCATGCATTATTTTTGCCAGCTTAAGAGGACATGCTCAAGCTGCAGAAATCTCTCAACTGTACATTTAACTCAATTTCAAGTGTTGCGTTCTCATAAAATCAAGACACATCCCATTTGCCAATGTTATTGTATTGTTGTGAGCTCGTTGTTTATCATTTTCTTGAGAAATTTATAAAGTACCGTATTTTTAGATGCCTAATGTTAACTTGCGACTACACATTAACTATTCTAGTTATACATAATTCGCACCAGCTTAAGTGGACATACCCAATTTGCACAAAAATAATTAAGGCTTCACCCAATTGTATATAATCCAAATTCTGAGTGTTGTGTTTTCATTAGTTCGAACAAATCCGATTTGTCAATTTTACTGTACTTTTTTGAGCTTAGTTGATTTTTCCTTTTCTTGGGTTAGATATAAATTCCTGGTCACAGAAATAAAAAGAGTTAGATATAAATTACTACATATATATATTATTTATTGAGGCAGACGAATCTTGTTTGTTAATTCTATTATACACATGTGACTTTGTTTACTTTATCCTTTTCTTGACACTATTATAAAGTACTATATATTCATTGATCTATGAAACTATTTTTCAATTAAACATTGACAGTGCAAATTTTACGTGAACCGCCACAGCTTAAGAGGGCATCCGATTCCTAAGTTGCACAAAAATACTCCTTAGGTTTCACTCAACTTTATATAACTCAAATTCAAGTGCTATGTTCTCAAAAATCCCTACACGTTTGTCAAGTCTATTGTACGTATGTGATTGTTTTATCCTTTTCTTGAGGTTGTTATAAAGCACTATATTTTTTGATGTCTCAATCTAATTGTTCTAGTTAGGCATCATTCTCACCAGCTTAAGTAGGCATACCAAGTTCCATAAAAAGATTCCAAGGCTTTCACTCATCTATAAATAATCCAACTTTGAGTATTGTATTCACATAAATCCAGACAAATCAATCAAACTCTTGTGGTTCTTCCCTTGCTAGGTTTTTTGAACAAATCAGACGCTCTTTCCCTTTGTCTTTCTTCCAAAAAGAATACATTGGTATCTGATCTCTCTCTCTCTCTCCCCTCCCTTCTATTGTTCATGTAAATACTCTTGTTTGTTTATGATGCATACTTTGAGAATCCAGTTTTTCGCTCAAAAGAAGGTTAGTTGTTAATTCGATTGATAAAGTAAACTGCATGGGAAACTTTGACACAAATTATCATTGCCATTGCCTGAATTTTAATCCATTCAATCTCTGTCTCTGTGCCAATGTTGAGTATAACTATTACAGTTAACTGGCAAACACTACAAATTTACCACGTCTGATGATTTTTGAAATGATTAGGGATTTTCTTTCTTTTTTTTTTTAGAGGGGGGAGTGTCAATTTGGCTCCGTCCCGGGCCCCCAGCCAACAGGCGGTTCCCACCCGCCCCAACTGCCACCAAGGGGATTGGACCTCATGGTAGAAGGGGTGACAATGGGCATATTTAGAATTGACTGAAGTAAGTTGATTTTATAAGCTTTGGAGTAAAATAAGTCAGTGTTTGGACCTTAGCTTTTGGACCAACTTATACGGTTTATTTAAGCTGATTCAAGAAACTGATTTTATGAATCTTTTTTCTAATTTTTTGGAGTTTTATCACAAGTTTCACATAACTTTTTTCCCACTCAATATGTGCAGGTTGTTTTTCCTTTTTTACTGAAGAACTTGGTTTCATCACACTGTTTCCTGCTATCCTTTTAACTTGGCCTTCAATTTATGGTGGCTTTTTGGGTTTCGATATATTCTATGATTTTGCATTGTTGAACTTTCAGCAAGAATGCTGCTTGTTCTTGTATTTGTTAATCTTAACTAGTTTATTAATAACACTCTAGCTTCATTGCCACCAAACAGACTAAAAGCATCAAAACCTTAGGCCCAACAGCGAGGGATCGCAATAGTGTATTGTTGTATTTGGATCCAGCTTCATGTGATAGGATGGTTTATTTCCAATCATCGCAGTAGTGGGTCTGAATGGTGTATTGTTGTATTTGGCTTACACAGACATAGGGAGGAGATAGCGAACTTTGTAAGCAGACACACGTGGTAAAAATTCCTCCACAAAACAAAAAAATGTACATATCATACTTGGAGCATTTTCAACGAGGTTTTATATTTTAACCATCTAAAAATATATTTTTTATATTTTAATTACTCACTTTTTTAATACATATTCCAATAGATTTTCTATTGTTTAACTACTTCTTTTAAATATTATTTCAGATTTATAGCACTTTTGATCTTTGAAGCATTTATTTTTTATTAGTTTAGTTTTTATTGTATCGATTTTGTCAATTTAGTCGCTAAAGTATTGAATTCGTGTCAATTTGGTCCCTACATAAGTGAAGTGTTAAGTTTTTGACGAAATAATCACGTATTGGGTACGTGATATCGTCTAAAAAAATAACTCGTAGTCACTTCTGTCAAAAAACTTAACGGTTCGTCTATGTAGAAACCAAATTGACACGGATTGAATACTTTATGAACCGAATTAACAAAATTGATATAATGAGGACTAAACAGACAAAAAATATATTTTTTAGAGACCAAAAGTGCTATTAATCCTATTATTTCTCATATCTTGTACATTTGTTAGGACTATTAAAGGGAGAGAGAGAAAAAGTGGAGGAAAAAAATAAAAAGTGAATAAGAGGAGTGGGGACACCTCGGAGCAGAGAGAACATGCCTTGGACCTGAGGGAGCCTGACTTGGAGTAGAGGGACACATGCCTTGGAGCCAAGAACCACATCAGCCGGAGCAAGAGGGTCTTGGTGTTGAGAACGCGTGGCTTCGCCAGAGGTGAGTAAGTACCTCGGCACCGAGGACACGTGTCATCAGGCTAAAGCCCTTCTATAAGTTTCTCATCAATTTTGTACCACATGTTGTGTCTATTGGGCCTTACCACCACGACAACCCTGTTCTGGAAGTTGAAGCCACATATTACAAATGCAAATGATTGGAATTTTAGAGATCTTGATGCAAGCAATGAAATCAGCCACTCCCGCTCTATCTCCAGTAGACATGCCATCAACTTCATCCATAATCAGCACAGTCTTTGGATGCTTTGAACTCTTGATGCATGTACAATAACACAGAGTACTACTAACCGATCAATGTTAACGCTCAGAGCTTCATTACTAACAAGTTCCTTTATAGAATTTGTTGTACTTCCACCTATTCCTTTCTCGACTTTGGCATCAGCCTTTCCACAGTTGTCACTAGCATTTACCTAAACGAATTAAATAGGAAGTAACATATATAGCCAAGGAATACAAAAGAAAATTGACATAGTCCAGTCCAGTATTAATCAGGAAAATGTTCTACCTCGATTGCCTGAAAACCAAGCAGAATCAGCTGCTAAGAAAGCTGTTCTATTGAGTGGTACACCTGGAATTAGGAAGACTACATCAACCAAGTTGATTAGTCAGATGCTTGGTTTTCAGGCAATCGAGGTAGAACATTTTCCTGATTAATATTGAACTAGCCTATGTCAATTTCCTTTTGTATTTCCTTGGTTATATATGTTACTTCCTGTTTAATTCGTTTAGGTAAATGCTAGTAACAACTGTGGAAAAGCTGATGCCAAAGTTGAGAGAGGAATATGTGGATGTACAACAAATTCTATAACGGAACTTGTTAGTAATGAAGCTCTGAGCGTTAACATGGATCGGTTAGTAGTACTATGTTTTATTGTACATGCATCAAGAAGTACCTTAAAAGAATCCTGCTTAATTGTTAACTATAATTCCAGTTCAAAGCATCCAAAGACTGTGCTGATTATGGATGAAGTTGATGGCATGTCTGCTGGAGATAGAGGGGGAGTGGCTAATCTCATTGCTAGCATCAAGATCTCTAAAATTCCAATCATTTCAAAAGTGCAGAAGTTGAAGCCACATATTGCAAGTTAGTTTCAAAAGACGCCACAAGACTTGGACATTTATATGAAAAAATTCTCTTGAGGATTTGTGAAGTGAGAAAGTATTATGATGAGGAATCAACACGGAGCTTCACTGACGAGACATTTGCGAGGATGATCCTCCTGGACAGGTGCTTTGTTTTGTATTACATTTGGCGTGTTGTAGAAGGTTTCGAAGATGATTTGGGGATGAGAAGTCACCATATAGCTTTTGCACGACAGGACTTGTTCTTGATGGAGAACCATCTTCCCTTCAACGTCCTCGAGAATTTGATGGACCTATCGCAAAAGGATAAGTGGATGCATGGGATCAATGAATTCGTCAGACTAATTTGTTTTGTGGGGAGCGCATCATTTTAGTAGATATAACCTTCACATCTTCTGTACCTTATACGAAAAATGGCGGTCGGTGAAGGGGACAAAATTAACCCTACAAAAATAGATTTTAAATTTTTTTCCTACACGTCCCATAATATCAAGGAGCTTATGGCAATTGGGATTCAGTTAGAGCGTATCTACGACATTAACTTGACAAAAATAAGGTTTACTTCTCACGGATCCTATGCACAGCTGACACTTCCGCCAATAAGTATGGACGGCTCAACAAAGTCAATGTTTTTGAACTTGATAGCTGATGAAATGAGTTCAGATGAGCCAAATGAGTTGTGGGTAACTTCTTACATATGCTTCCTTAGTACCCTCATCGTGCACCTTGATGATGGTAAGATTCTACGGTTTGCAAAAGTACTCAACAACTGTATAGGCAGTGATGATGAAATAGCCAGCCTCTTCCACGACCTCGCCAATGAACTGGTCACAAATCCTTTGGCTTATCGATGTGTCAAAAGGGGAATCAATAATTGCTACAATAACACGATGTTCAGTGGGTTAGCTTACTTCCATTGCTACAAAGCCAAGATGTACATGTCTCAAATGAAGGAAGATTATTTCAAGAACCCATAGGCCATTTTTGCGCTCATAGGCGCAATCCTAGCTCTCATCTTCACCGGCGCCTAAGCCTACTTCCAAATCTGGTCCCTTCCCAGTGACTGCGAGGGACTCTGCAAGTATATCCAAAGCACACACCGCCTATGATGGACTGACTCATCAGCTGATCAGATTCCATTTAAAATTCGAATAAAAGGCTCTTTTTGCATGTGCGTACTTCGTTGGGTACCCTATATATGTTTTTCCATTTCCTTTGATTTCATATGTGGAGGCAGGCATATGTGGATGCAGCCTGCCTGTCTACAATAAACAAGAATGAATACTAGTGTGTGCTTAAGATAAACAAGATTGTCTTAGCCTATTGGAGACCTTTACCTACAGACTTTGCCTCTGGACCCAAGCCTTGACCTGGAAAAGTGTTGTATCACTTTTGGGCCCGTTCACTCTCCATGCACTAGCCAAAAAAACTAGCCAAATCCCATCCATGGGCCAAAACAACTACCCCAATCCGTCATCTTCCCAGGCAGGCCGCCCAACTAGCAGTCCACCCCTACACAATACCATCTCCTTGCTGGCCTAATGGCCAATAAAAGGAAAAGTCCCAAGAAAAGAAAAGAGACACGCTAGACATGCAAGAATCCAAGAATTTACATCACTCATCCTCAATACACTGGCTCATTAATGCAGACCCATTTGATGCAAAGAGGTACATAGTAGTGACCGCCTCATGCGATGCACAAATATTTATAATCTCTTCCTATTATTACCTACCCCTAACGTAAATATTATTGGACAATTACCTATTAATATGTTTATTGTTTTTAATTTGAAAATAGTTATGAAAGATAAATGGAAATTTAAATGTGAAGTAGTTTTAAAAAATTATGGGAGTGGTTACATAGGACACATGGGATAATATGATTGGAAGGATCTAATTAAACATTTCAACACTCTAGTAATTTTGAGGATGGAAGTTTTCTCAATATCTCTCTTCTCTTGTTTGATTGTTTTATTTATACAGTAGCGTTGGTATACAATGCACGATTGTCTCAAGAAAAAAAAAGTTCAACAAACATTAGATTCGATGTACAAACAAAAGAACGAGAAAAAAAGACAATTTTGAAAATTAAACACTACAAGAAAAAAGACTTTTTAAACCATTTTTTTTTTTTTTTTTTGCGTCGGTGAAATGCTGACACAAAAGATTAGTTTTGGCATTGGCAAATTGTGCTGAGGCAAAAATTGGATAGTTGTGTCAGCAACATTGCTAAGGCGAATAAAATATATCAAAACGACATCATTTTCATATTTTAATTTGCTTCAAACAAGGTCATTTTGAGTTATCATGTCTCCATGAAACAAGTCATGAATATGCATGGCTAGAGATTGTGGTCCGTTACTTCCAAGAAATATGCCTGGCTAGAGTTTGTGGTCCATTACTTCCAAGAAATATGCACTACATTTGGTTATAGAATCAGTAACAATACTGTATAAAGATATTATTGTTTGTACTGCACAAATCAAGTGAGAATACAACAAAATGACAAAACCAAACGTACTTCACCAAAATTCTTCTGGACTGATAAACTCTTGCAGAGCCATGAAATTGACATGGAAAGATGCGATCTAGTGATAATCTTGTAGAGCTATTCACTGAACTTTACCTTCATCAACATTAAAGACATTGATATTCGGTATAAGAATGCTTCACATTCGCAACCAGTTTACTTGCTTTATACTTTCTTGTCAGGTAGATAAATATTTTATGAAGGGAAGCATTCACATCAACAAAATATACATCATAAATGGGAATTATTGGTATACATGTCAATTTATACGTTGTATTTGTTTTACTTTTGTCTAGGTTTTATACTAATGAATTTTTTGGCAATGATGCATCATTAATGCATCCAACACTATCCTAAAATTCATAGTAATGCGTTTTTTTTTTTCCTTTGCTTGGTTTTTTTCACAGGATTTTATCTATCAAGGTTTTAACGTGACTTATTATCTTGATTTAATGGTCATCTAAGGAAGAGTATTATAAATATAAAAATGTTGATAACCACAAAATCTCCACCCATGCATTAGTAGACCTAAATAAATTGTAATAGTGTATAATTTGATAACCGCCTATCTCTCGGTGTACTCAAGAAAAATATTTAGAACGATTGTTAATAATCATTATGATTGGAGCTTTATAAAAAGAGATTTTCCTATTTATTCCATAAAATAATCAAATGTTTTTGTTTTGATTTTTGTTTTTGTATTAAGAAAAGAATAAAAATTTAATGTTATCAAATGTAGGATTACTTTACAACCATAAAAGCAATGTAACAAAAACAATACAAATCTGCATAAGCAATCATTCACAAAGCCCAAAGGTAAAAGTAAAATTCAATTATATGATGTCCAATCACCATCTTTATAATCATCGTTCTTAGTCATACTCAGATTCTAATATTTGGCTTACTCTGGGTCATAATTTTAAAATTCGGCCCAGACATCAACCCGATGAAGAGATTGGGTCAACGGGTCACTTGTTCAACCGTCGGGTCATTAGTTAGACCAATAATATAATAAAAATTAAAAAATAATTATAAATAATAATAAATAGACTAAAAAATCACAATAATTATCAAAATAACACCACATACAGTGTTGCACAGATTTGAAACTACTAAAACAAAGTCTAAAACGTGTCATCAATTTTCCTTTTCTTCCTTTTTTTTCAACCTAAAGTTTATACCACTTTGCCGCGACCTCGTGGACAACTTAAAGCCAGAAGTAGAACCATGAAAGATTCCACTCTCACAAACTCACAAAAACAACGTGAGCATGAACATAGATCTCGACATGTAAACTACTATAAAGATCTGAAACTGCTACAACGGTGTCCAACTTTTTCAAAAAATTATGGCAAACATTACAATGAGTAAAAAAGTAGAGTCACCAATAGTCGTAGCTAAATTTCTTTTTCTTTCTTTTTTACCTAAAGCTTAAAACAAATTGCCAGAAACCTCATTGACAACTAATCTAGCAATCAAAATCAAATGTCTAACATTTTGAACATAATGATGAGATCATTTGCAATGTGGACAAGTTCTTCATAAATAAATAATAACTTGTAAATTGTAGAAATATGACTTTATTGATAAATATTAAGTATAAAAGTTGGAGTTTAATTTAAAGTAGAGACAAGAGCTACACTCACAAGTTGGCTACATTCACTTCCAAATACATCCACTGCCTTAAATTTTTTTCAGCACCCAACAACAACAAAGCTTCTGATTTTCGCTACTGGTGGACTGCACTGGAGTGGAGTCGATGCCTATGCCTGATCACGCGCGCTGGCCTGATGATCTGATCACTCACGGAGTCTGAATCTAATTTGTTGGTGGTGTGGTGGGGGCAAGGCTGTGCGACTCTTCTGGTTCTGGAGTCTGGATCGATTTAGGGCAGCAAAAGGGGAAAAACAAAAGAGGAAAAAGGGGGGAAAAATCTCATATTTATAGAAATGTTATCAAACCGTCTAGTTTTGTAAACTCAGTCAGTTCTCACAGGTTTACCGGTTTTTGACCGATTTAATGGGTTAACTCCAAGTTCTGTACATAAACGATTTTTTTTAGAACCGGCCCGGTTAAGAAACCAGTTCACCGGGTTGACCCGCCAGGTTTTAAAACCCTATTTTGGATCGCTCTTCAATTATTTCCCATAAGATATTTTACATGGTATTTTTTTTTTGTTTTCTAGAAGAAGATCCATGCGCAATAATTTTTTATTTTTTTAGTTTAATGGTCAAGATTGTCTGAATTAATTTATGGACATCTCGACTAATTCTCTTTCGATATAACTAAAGACAAACTAGTTAGAATATCACTTAAGAGATAAATCTTTCACTCAATTTATGGATCACCCCTCTCACCTTTTCAACTATCTTTAAGATTCCTTGCACACTAAGTTCAGGACATGAGTAGATGGAAAACATGTGAGATGATGACTATAAATTCCACTACAACATAGTTTTCTACAATGTGGACCTCAGTGATGTGTTTGTTGCACTGTCAATTTCTCTGTTGGGTGTGACAGAAGGAGGACAAACGGCTTGCCGTTTGAGCATGTGAAGGTAGAGACGTCGTGGGCCCCTTTTCTCTGATTTAGGTCCTAATATTAAATATATATTTTATTGCTCTAATTAAATGATAGTGTTATAGTCTAATAATATTATTAGGAGTTATCTATCATACCAAAAAAATATTTTTGATACCGTATCGATATTTATTATATGTGTGAATATTTTTATTATTATTGTGGATATTTTTATCACTGTTGTAGTAATTATTTTTATCATTTTTTGTGATAGCACAAAAGTGATAAAAATACTTATAAAAAAGGTAAATCACAGATAGAAGTAATAATTTTTTTATCAAAAAAATTGTAAAAATAGTTACTGATAAAAGTACCTATAAAAAAAAAGGTTAAAACACCCATAAAAAGTGATAAAAAAATTTTGCTATGAAATAGTCCACACAAATTTTATAACACCCATTAAGAAATAAAATTTAGAGGTACAATATTAAATTTTTTTTTTTGGTAACTTAGTTAAGTCCATATTATTATAACGTATATTCTTAATTTTTTTTCATTAAAATCATATTTATTGAATATTTTATTAGATTAACAAATTAGACCAAATTTATAAATTCTAAATACATTAGTCAATGTCATCATGACATTTTTTGATATCATTATGTAACACTATTACAACGTCCATTACTATTACTCAAAATAGTGGTGTAATTTAAAACTATGGTAAAATGAAGGGTGAGGGCAGTGATGAGTAGCCAAGTACGTTCCCTCATTGCAATTTTAAAAACTTTAGGGCTCAATTTAAGATTTTAAAAAATCTAAAATTTTTAAAACTTGCTCCCACTTAAAAATCTGTAAACATTTGCTAAGATTCTGTCATAAATTAAGAATTTACACTTAACTCTCTAGTTCTCCCTCTTGTCTCTCTCCAATGACAAAACCCGTAATGGACCCAATCTTATTATGAATTTGATTAGTCAAATATTTATTGTTATTTTTTTACTATTATAGAAATATTTGGATATATCATAGCATCCTCGATGAATTCAAAATTTGATTTGAATTCAGATCGGGTGTGATGTATATGTGTGATGAAATCGAAATGAAATTAAAATGTAATTTCTTAAAATTTAACTCTGCCGAGTGCAAATTATATCGGCATTTGAATTGGACTATCAATAGTTAACGGAATTCGACATGGATCGTACAAATAAAAATCGGTTAGAAAAATTGGATCCGATTCGAAATAGAGTTTTTATATTGGGTTGAGATACCTACCAGTCAAAATTCGCGTTGACGAGCCTTTTCACCATATTCGCAAATCACGATGAATTTATCGGTTCTTGTTCGGACTTTTTAGTTCACATGATCGTTGCCCCCTGAATCTTTTCATTGTTGTTCCGACTGTCTGCCTTTCTAGAAGCAAACGATGGCTGATGGCGAGGAGCCAATTACTATCAGTGATGATGAGGAATGGATCAAATGCATTATAAATGCTGGTGCTACCAAAGCAAATCGATCTCAAACTCGAAAGTTACGTATGCAAAAGGTGCCTCAGATGCTGCGAGCTAACAAAGATTTCCAGAAGTACTTCGCACCACGGGTTGTTTCTATTGGTCCTTATCACCATGGCAACCCCGTGCTCCAACATGTGCAGAACTTGAAGCCAGTTATTGCAAGCAAGTTTGTTTTAAACGAGCCAAAGCGGTTCCAAGAATTTTATGAAAAAATTCTCAGGAGGATTAGAGAGGTGAGAGGGTGTTATGATGAGGAATCAACACAAGGCTACACTGATAAGGCATTTGCACGAATGATGCTACTTGACGGGTGTTTTGTTTTGTATTTCATTCGTTGTGTTACACGCAATCTCGAACATGATTTGGGAATGACAAGTCTCCATATAACCTTCGCACAACAGGACTTACTCTTGCTGGAGAACCAACTTCCCTTCCTGGTCATCCAGGATCTGATGGACCCGTTCGAAATGACCATGTGGAAACTATGGATCCATTTGTACCTCAAAGTTAATTTTAAGACGGGAACAGCTGCACATCTTCTGGAGCTTTTACGAAACAGAATGGTCGATTATGTAGACATCAATAAGTTAACCCATTTCACTGGCTACACATCCCGTAATATCAAAGAGCTTATGGCAGTGGGGATTGAGTTTAAGCCTAGCGAATCGAATAGCTTGACAGACATAAGCTTTACCTCTCACCAATCCTATGCAGATCTAAGACTTCCGAAAATAACTGTTGACAGCTCAACAAAGTCAAATTTTTTCAACTTGATAGCCGATGAAGTGAGTTCAGATGAGCCAAATGAGTTATGGGTAACTTCTTACATATGCTTCCTCAGTACCCTCGTCGCGAACCCTGATGATGTTAAGATTCTACAGTCTGCGAAAGTACTCGACAACCGCCTAGGTAGTGATGGTGAAGTGGCCAGCCTCTTCCACGAGCTCGCCATTGATTTGGTCCCAAATCCTTATGCTTATGCAAATGTCAAGAAAGAAATACAGAATTATTACGAGGAGACGATAAGTTCGAGTTGGTTTAATAAATTTTGCCGATACAAAAAGAAAACATACTTGTCTCAACTGAAGGAAGATCATTTGAAGAACCCATGGAGAATTTTAGCTTTGGTAGGCGCAATCCTAGCTCTCATCTTCACCGGCGCCCAAGCCTACTTCCAAATCTGGTCTCCTCCCAGTTAGTGCGAGGGCCTCTGCAAGTATATCAAAACCACACAACGCCTATGATATCCACAACCAGCTGAGATTTCATCTTAACTTTGCTTGCGTTTATTTCGCTTATATATATAGAAAGAAAGTATTTAGACTTTTGAGTTTGTTCATCTTCTTTTACCTAGTTGATCTAATCTGGGTGTTGTGATTGTCTTCAACGGATTAGGTACTCTTCAAACTTGTCATTTGGAAAGGTCTTCTTCTGGTTAGAAGAGTTGGAAATTGTCTAGACTCTTGAGGTAATATTGTACTTTCTCTGTTGAAGTTGAAATAATCTTCAGAATTTGGGGTAATCTTGAGAAAATAAATCAGTTTCCCTTTCTTATTATTGGGTTGGTTTGGAGTTCCCCATCCTTTCCCCCCGGGGTGGTTTGCTTTCCTTTTCGTTAAGGACATGTTTGGATGGCGGGTTGAAGAGTAATAATTTTGATAGACTTATTTGAACAACACCACCACAAGAAAAGAGCTTTTTGCGTCGATATACCAACATATAATTAATGAATTTCTTTATGTAAAAGATCATCAAATATTCGTTAGATAGCCCATATTTTTGAATTTGATTGTGAAAACATATGCTACCTTCTTACTAAATATGTTTTCATTTCTATCAACTTTACCAAGAAACTTCTCTTTAATTCGAATACACGGGCAGCTATCAACAGTTTGTTGATGTGGTAACAGAATTGCTGGCCAACTGAATTTGCATTAATGGTGAAAAAAAATATTTGGGTGTTGATCGCACCATGTTATAGGCATAAAATTTTGAAAGACTTTTAAACATGTACTATATTACTAGCGAATGAAGATGAAAAAATCATTGCTCGACTAATTTGTCCAAGTCTCAACTTATCTACACAAACATGGGTAAGACCCTAGTAGATTTCTACACAGAAATTGGCCTAATTAAGCTTATAGCATGTCAATCAATTTTGTTCAGTTGCAGTCCAATTACCTAATTTGAACTAATTAAAATAGTTTGTCTACTCTCACCATTGTTGAGTACTCAGTATAATGTTAAAAGATGCGATAACAATAAAAATGCAACTCAGTCCTTCGATTAGTTGGAGGTCCACCATGCGAATGGTGCCACTCCCACCCAAGTTTACCATGAGGATGTTGGGAGACCCACAGTTGTATACTATGCCCTTTAACCTAATTCCGTCCATGGCCCAAAAAGTTATCACAAGTCACTCATCCTTAAACCACGCCCAACACACTAGCTCATAGTGGAATAGACCATTTGATGCAAATTGGTACATAAATATGAATATATAGACAGAGTTTAGCAATGGCTGCAAATTAAGGTGATTTCAATGGAGGAGCTGACTGCAAAGAGAACTAGAATTGAACCTCGTCAAACATTCAACAGCAGCAACAATTTTTTTTTTGATCAATGAGCAGTCAGAAATAGCTACGAACATAGATCTAAAGCAAAGCAACAAGACTTGTGTAAGGTTCCACTGCCAATGCCATGGAGATTGGAATAAAGAAACGCGCGAGCCTGCATGAGCTTGAATTTTAAGGAAGAATAAGGGAGAAGAATGATCAACAAATCCGTCAATGTCAAACATCCTGAATCACTGCGTTCCACAATTAGAAGGAAGGAAGTACGAATGGCTGAAAATGAGAAGCAGCATTACATCTCCTTGCTGTTTACTGGCCGATACTTTCCAACCACAACCCCTTCTCTGAAATTTTATGCGCGGCAGAAGCAATAAGCATCAAAAGAAAGAACATAAACACTGATTTTGTTCAGTCACTTAATTCTGAGTTAAGAGAATCCATTTTAACCAAGCAGACTGAAACTTTAAAATAATAAAATTAATCACATTCGATGCCTGCAAAGCTTGAACTTTCTATTTAGGTCATCGATCCTGATACCAAGCTACTGCTTCTTTACGTGCCCAAATAGATGTAATGAAGAAGGAGTGAGCTATTATGTCAATTTCATGAAACCTCTCGTTAATCACCCTGACTATGTTTAAGGGTTGCAGGAGCGTTCTGTGTCATATATAAGGAGATTAGAGAGCACTGAGCAGCACTACAACAGCAAGGCGAGGACATAGATAGCTGAACTGACTTACATATATTTTAGCAACCAGTCAACTGTATTGGCTTTTCTCACTCCAGATTTACACTACACCATCTGCCATGCCTATCAATGCTCTAATTTCAAAAAAGAGAAACACCTTAAATATCACAACCAAATAGAGAGAGAGAGAGAGAGATTCACCGTCAAAATTTTTCATGCCAGCTAAACAAATATATGAATCTCCCAGATCATTGTAATCCTCCTTACATAAAAGGTAAACCTTGGTTCTTGCATTCTTACATGCTCCACTTCTAACTATCTTTTCCCCAGGTGTGAGAATTTTTTTTCCATGAGTACACCTACAGCTTTTGTAGTATTAGAACTTCGGAGTTAAAGTCTCTATCCACATTAAAAATTTGTATACTCTGTCTCCTTTCATTCTCTGTGCTTTATAAGTAAAGAAACTACATAATTTACCGTCTTTTTTTTTTCTAAATATCCTCATGTTACCATCTGATATGAAACACCTGGCCACAGCTGATTTCACAAAAGCAGGTTGATACTTGCTGCAATGGCCAACACCTTAAGTTCGACAACAGAAGCATCGTTTTCAGCCTTCAAAAGTAAATGACTAAAAGCAACAATTATTCACCATCTAGTTTTCTCAAATTTCCATCTAACTTTTTGCTGCAAAGCCCTTACAAGGCTGCTGAAAAAGAAGGATGTATTGCATGCTAAGGAACAAAACTATACAGCAAATTATCACACAGCTTATCAATAGGGATTCCACACGGAAGGGTACAGGATGCAAATTCATTATCTCATGTTGTTATGTACAATGAAACAGAAGTTCAGTCATTTAGGTACTCTGCTCCTTCAAGGAATCAATGCAAATTCGGAAAGATAAAATCAATAAAAATTTGCATAACAGGCAATTCATTCGATTATTCGGATTTTGCTGGAAAAATGGAGACCACCATCAAATTTAACTTGCAACGAACGGAGATCCAAGTGTCTTATTCTCTATCCTGTAATAGGTTGTTGATCATTTTTACCAAAGGTAGTGTACCCTTTGCCATAATCTCTATCCTGGAAGTATTAGAGGCATGAGAGAATAGAGAAAGACCAAAAAATATAAGCTCAGGAAGAAATAGCCGCGACGACAAAAATCCATGCCAGTAACGCGGTTCTAGGTCAAAGAAAGCATCAAAGAACCTTCTCGTGGCATGTAAATCAAGCTTAAGCAAAATATCCATGCCAAAACAAAAAAACTCCCTTTGGCGTCTCCTTTCTATAGGCCACAAATCTTTCCAAACTTCTGCACATAATTCATTTCCCAAACAGCTTCTCTCAGAACCAAAGTACTGAACTATTGAATTGGCGATAATTGGAGCTGCAGCTAGAGTCCGTGCTACCATATACCCAGTTGAAGGGTGCACCATCCCAGCTGTACCACCAATTCCAACAACTCTCTGAGGGATCACCGGAAGAGGCCCCCCCATTGGAATCACGCAACGCTCATCCTCTTCAATGCTTTTAACTTTTATGCCTAAGTGCCTTAATCGAGCCACCATTCTTTCCTGAATGTCTTCCATTGATACTCCAGGACGAGCTACAAGCGAGGTTTCTTCAAGAAATATTCGCTCGGATGAAAACGGCATCGCGTAAAGGAATGTGGGGATCCTCCTATTTCTTTCTTTTAGTTCCATATTGTTATTAAGATGGGAATCTCTCCAATCCATGAAAACCATCTTATTCAAATCAAAAGGGTGCTCTTCTACTTCCGCCACAATCCCATAAGCCACTTGGTACCCTGGATTATAAGGCTTATCATACTGAACAAGGCATCTGGAGAAGCCAGTTGCATCAAGAACTACAGCAGCCTGAATTGTGACCCCATCATTGCAGATCAACAAAGATTTGGATTCCTCGTGGATAACTTTTATAACCTTAGCTTGATGGAACTTGACCCCATTTAATATGCATTTCTGCATCATTTTTGATTTCAACTGCTTTCTGTTAACCCTACCATAAGGTCTATCAAGATTTTTAGTTGACTGGTCATTGACATATACAACAGCCCCAGACCAGGTAGTGTCTAGGCAATCAAGCAAATCCATAGCCTCAAACTCATCCACCCAAACACCATAATTATTGGGCCATATCAATTTGGGAGATGGGTCAATGGAGCAAACTGAAAGTCCCGCCTCTGAAACTTGTTGTGCTACAGCAAGCCCTGCAGGGCCGCCTCCCACAACTGCTAGATCCACTACAAGGCCCTTTGAAGGGTCATACATGGGAAGCTCAAATTCAAGACTTTCCTTTTTGGTTTCTGGAACAAGCTCCAAAAGGGCACTGCTACTGGACTTAACACAAACTTTCTTACCCCATTTCAGTTGAGGTTTTTTGGAACCAAACCTATCCTCCTTATTATGAAAATTGAAAGAGCTCAAACTACCAACTTTTTCTGCAAACCCATGAAGTGGGTGCAGAAATGTAAGCTTACTATGAGTCTTAAGCAAAGTATCCATAAAACTTCAATTATCGTTCAAATTATTCCACCAAAATCTCAACTGGGTCTCCAAATATTCTCCAAACACACAATCTGAATTTCAAGAGTTGCCCTAATTCTCAGATCAGCATGAACTCCCACCAATGATCAAGCCTTTTATTTAAGGAATTACACAGGACAAGAAGTAATCACTAACAGACTTCCAACATTGCATACACAGTTGCAACAAAGCCAGAAAAAACTGGAGAAACTGAAATGGGTATATGTATGAATTTCACAAAGGCCTTGCGAAACTCACACGTAATTGAAGTTAATTATTGAATTAACAGGGCATAAGAGTTGAAAGCTTACCATCAAATGGAGAAAGAGTGAAGAGAGACAAGACATAAGCTAACCGGGACTTTGGGGACATCTCGTGGTGGAGGTAAAGTTTGTGTGGTCTTTCCTGAACTACAAACCGATGTGGGTGTGTTGGCGTTCTTTTTATTTTATATTTTCCCCGGAAAGAATGTGTGGGCGTTCATGACGGTTATATCCGGGACTCACAAATTAGAGCGTGGGTACGTATAAGTCGCTAATGAGTTAGCCATACATTTCAACTTCGAATTGTATTGTTTGTGTCGATTAAATTTTTGAATAATATTTTACGTTAATTCAATGTCTGATTCGAGTTGATCGGGTTTCAGCCCGTTCCGGGTTTAGGGTCTCGTGCCACCCACGTGCAAGCCGACACCATTCAAAGACGGGAAAGTAAAATAATACTCAAAAGAAAGAGAAACGCAGGTCAGGTGTTTAACTCTCAGAAAACAGAAAACTCAGCTCCCTTTCACAATCTTGTTAACTCAGACAAACCAACCAGATAGATCTCAAACCCAATGTTGTTAATTTCGAGTCGCTAGATCTCGTTTTATCTTCTTCTAAAGAACACCATATAGATGTATGTATGAAAAAAGGTGAAGAGAAGAAATGGGGGGATTTTTGTGGTCATCATCGGCGTTCGATTCGAAGTCTGGCCAAATGATACTGATTGTACTTTTGGTAATGATTGCTTCTTTTTACACGGGCACTCTCTTCGGCCGCAACTCTCCCATTTATGTCCCACAGCAACAACAACAACTTGCCCCCTCCAATTCTTCATCATTCTCTGGTATGCTCTCTCTCTGTCTCTCTCTCTCATAAATTGATATATATGTTATTCTTGGTCTGACCCTTCTACCATTAAACATATATAGCTTCTGACAATGAATTTTCGCTTTTCATGATCTATTAACTGAGAATTAAGCAAGTCATGTGATATATTTCTTGATTTTATATGTATATGCTTGTGGATAATGCTAATGATTGAATGGGTTTGTTTATTTCTAGTGACTAGTTGTATTTCTTGTGGGCATATTGTGCTCACTCTTTCTCTACATATTATGTGATGCTGGAAGTAAGTAAACCGAGTGGTTGGATTTGTTGAGCAACATACAGGTTGTAGTAAGTTAAGTTTAAAGGAACCAAGTGGTAGGGGTTTTATGCAATAGCGGCTAGAATTTTGACCTACAGTATGACTTATGACATTTTCTATTTTTAGGATCAAATTGGCAAAGTATGAGAAATATGTCAATGTACAGTATGGGTATTTAAGTGGTTCACTATACCCTATGGTAATCTTAAGCTTTGATATGTGTGTATGACAGCAATGGATAAATGTCATATTATTTCCAATCCAATAATGTCATATTATGAGAGGGGAGTGTCTATTTACTTGTAACTTTTTTAGTTGTTTGATGGACAGTTGTGAATTTGCTACAGATGTCATTGCATGTGTAGTATGTACATCATCCTTAGCGCAGTATAAGTCTTCTTACTGAGTAAAGTGTTTCTTGCAATGTGCATTCGAAAATGTACTTTTCAGTGTATGCTCTAGCATGACATCTCTATGTAGTTAGATACTCGGCGTGGAAAATCCACACAGACAGGAGATAGCCTATAATTGGATATATGTAGGTGCAGTTTCAAGTATTTTAGTTCCCACAATGAGCAGGCAAAAAAGTAACAACTCATTGTCAACTAACGCATATTATGAGTTGACCAACAATAGTGCTTGTCTAATGTGGCAGAGTTATGCAGTTGCATTGGTTGTGTGGCTGATTTTTATTGTGAACCCAGGAATCAAAGTTTTCTAAACTATGTTTGGGAGGTATGCTTGTTGGATTCAGAGTAATAAAGTCAGTGAAATGAGCTTTTACTTGCTTTCTGATGCAGCAAAAGTTAGTATGCACAAAAAGATCACTAGATCAACTATTAATTTTTCAGATGTGTCCATGGATGGTGGTATAAAATAATTATCACTGTTGTAATTTTGGGTACACTAAAAGAGGTAAAAGGGTTTGGCACGACTTCCAATCAAGCTTTATCGGTAGGGTTTAAGTTTTGATACCTATTTCTTTTCAATTGGCTTACAATTGCAGTTCAATCTCATGGCAATAAAAATAAACTTATAACATCAATTTAGTTCAAGCAGTGAATTAAAAGAAAACAATGAAACATGGCAATAAAATTATTGCTAAAACTTGATCAAACAAACTTTCGAGGTTTGGCTTAAGATTGACTGCCAAATCTAATGTTTTGAACCAAGATGACGAAAATGATTTCAAGTGAGTTTTAAAGTGTCTTTATCATCGAGCTCCTGCACTTAGATCCTACCTTTTACTTGCTCTAGAACCATTTAATCTTCAAGACATATAATGAAATCTCTTCATGTTCCTTTATACTTTTGATTCATGTCCTTGTGAGTAGTGTGTGCCCGTTGGAGGAGGGCTTTGAACTTCAAAGTTTGTGGGTTGATTCATGTACTCTTTCATTGCCTATGTCTTCGTGTGAGCCTTATTATATAAGTCTATGGTTAACTTGTCATAAAATGTTGCAATTTGGATCACAACAAAGACAGCCTTAAAGGTTTGAACCTTCTGATTCATGCTTGCTCTATAATGCTTGCAGGTATTACTCTATTTACAAACAAAATTACTCTTTCTTACAGAAAAGCACCACTTACAATCCCTGAAACTGGGATGAACATATGTCCGTTGACTTTCAATGAGTATATCCCTTGCCATGATGTTTCTTACGTGAAAGAACTGCTGCCTAAGTTAGATCTTTCCAAGAGAGAAGATCTGGAGAGGCATTGCCCTCCACTTGAAAGGAAGTTGTTTTGCTTGGTACCACCACCAGGTGATTATAAGCTACCAATAAGATGGCCAACCAGTCGGGACTATGTTTGGCGAAGCAATGTGAATCATACTCGTCTTGCTGAGGTAAAGGGAGGACAAAATTGGGTACATGAGAAGAATGAACTGTGGTGGTTTCCAGGTGGTGGTACTCATTTTAAGCATGGAGCTTCTGAGTACATTGAGAGGTATCTGTGGTTAACTCGTTTTTATTCTCAACCTCCTTTTCTTTCGGCTACGTTATCTTCACTTTCACAATTATCTGTCATGATGATTTATAATAATAAGGGTAAACCAAATCCTATTCAGATTATGGGTATGATCATAGATTATTCCCTCTTCTATATTTCACCTTTTGCTTTATCATTTGTAAAGTGCTTTTGAGGAAAGAATTACTTTAGTTTTATGAACAAAAATATATTTTCCAATACTCATATTTTTCTATCTAACTTCAGTGGATAAATGCGAGGATTCCTATTTAGGCACACAACTACATGATGTCTTTATCCGTAGGTTACCTGAGATCAAGATTTTAGTTTTGTCGTATGATTCTTAATGCTTTCCTATGTTATCTTGATACTTGGCTCAGACTGTTGTTAAGTCTTTAATCAAGCCATGCCTGGTGTTTTCTGTGATTACATTCAGTTTATTTCCCTGGATGCAGGTTAGGAAACATGACAACTAATGAGAGAGGTGATTTGCGTTCCGTTGGAGTATTTCAAGTTCTGGATGTTGGTTGTGGGGTTGCCAGCTTCTCTGCTTATCTTCTTCCCTTGAATATACAAACTATGTCATTTGCTCCCAAAGACGGTCATGAAAATCAAATTCAGTTTGCTTTGGAGCGAGGAATTGGTGCAATGATTTCGGCTTTAGCCACAAAACAGTTGTCATATCCGAGCAGCTCTTTTGAAATGGTCCACTGTTCAAGGTGTCGTGTTGATTGGCATGAAAATGGTAAGTTCTGGTGTGCTGGGAATCCTGATAAAGTCAGATGTAATGTATCTTTGATCACCAAAGCTGCTTAAACAATCAAGCTGCACTATCTGCTACTTATTAATTGATGCATTGATGGTGGATGGAGTGATCAGAATTTCAAGAGATGTCTGAGGTGGCATGTTTTGTTCAATTTTTAGGGATCCTTAGTAAAACACACACGTTGCATTGTACATTTAAAACTCAAATTTGTTATCTACCTTGTTTTCACGTGTTAAGAGACTATTGTTAAATAGGCACATGTTTTACTGCCCGCATTAGTGGATTTGTCAGATAAAATGGCTGCACTGAAATTTGAAGTATATATTTTCTCCAACATACAGTCATAAGATGAACCAATTGTCTTTGCCAAAGCATGTGAAAATTGGATGAATATGAATTTGACTTCTGGCCTAGGTATAGTTCTAGTCACCATAATTATTTTAATTATTATTGGTGACAAATTCTGAATGTATTGGGTGGTCATTTAGAGTTTATGAAGTTCTGGTGCTTATTTTATTGATACATGTCAACATGAGGATCTAATAGTACATCACCTGTTTGGATACTTCAAACCATGTGTTAATTATCTTCTATCACTTGCACTGTGTTTTTCAGGTGCAGTGATATGCACTAAATTTTCCTGATGAATATTCTGTTATGTTATTTCCTGGGATAAAAGGTTGTGCCCCAGTTGCAAATTATAAATTATAACAGGCAAAATTAACATGGCTACATGTAAGTGCTGTACAAATTTCAAGTTAAATTATGCTCAAGGCCTGTTTAAGATTCTTGGAATAGTTCTTTACAATCAGTGTGGTATTCCTGTAGTGAGAGACATGATCACTCTTTTAGCTTGAAGAAAGGGTAAAAAGGCTTAAAAGGTTGTGTAACTCACCTCTTTCTTTTCATGTAGTTTAATAGACTTGTCCGTAATTGATTCATGTGTCCTATGTAGGAATTTGTGAAAAATCATATATTTTCTGTTATAAGTTGTGCTAAAGCACATTTTACTTGGTATTGGGGTAAACTTACTTTGGTTCTGCAGATGGTATTCTACTCAAAGAGGTGAATCGTCTACTGCGGTCCAACGGATATTTTGTCTACTCAGCTCCACCTGCTTACAGAAAGGATAAAGATTTTCCAGTAATCTGGGATAAGTTGATGAACCTGACTACTGGAATGTGCTGGAAACTTATTGCGCGGAAAATTCAGACTGCTATCTGGATTAAGCAAGAAAATGACACATGCCTCCTGCACAATGCAGACAAGAAGCTTGTAGATATTTGTGACTCTGTTGATGATTCCAAAGCATCCTGGAAAACAGCGCTGAGGAACTGTATAACACTAAGTAGTGCAAGATCAAAATCTCAAAAACTCCCTCCTAGGCCACACCGTCTTTCTGTGTATTCTGAAAGTCTCAAAAGCATAGGTTTGTCTAATCTCTTTTATAGAATTTAATGATCCTAATTTCCTGTTCTCGTTTCTCTGTGATGCTTGTCCGTCCTCAGGTGGGTCAGGGTGAGGAACCCTTTGCTTTAATGGGCATTGAGTCAAATGATGTACCTAAACTCTTTTGTTGTGTTAGCATTCTTAGATGAGTAAGTTTGCAATCTAAGTAAAGGTATTTTCTTTTACTGTCAACCTTCTGGTAAAGTACTATATTCTGCTCATTTAGTAGTCAATGAAGATTTTATAACCCATGCTTATATACATAGACATATACATGTCATAACTTTCTGGTAAGAATCACAAAATGGTCAGTTATAGATGAATAGCATGGAGGACAAAATTTCCGGTAGCTCTATTCTGAAAAATATCACCACATCATGTGGGGTTTAGTGGATATCACCACATCTTCTACTCTTATATGGAGAAATGTTTGTAGGCATCAATCAAGAAGAATTTTTATCAGATACCATCTTTTGGCAAGATCAAGTTCGCCACTACTGGAGATTGATGAAGGCTGACGAGACAGAAATACGAAATGTCATGGACATGAATGCCCTTTTTGGTGGATTTGCAGTTTCTTTGAGTACGTGGCCTGTTTGGGTGATGAACATAGTTCCTATAAGCTTGAATAATACCTTGTCTGCTATTTTTGACCGGGGTCTGATCGGTGCTTTTCATGACTGGTAAGTTGACATCATGTATAATACTTTTATGCTGAACTTGAACAACAAATGCTTTTGTTACTAGACTTTCTCTGCTACTTGTAGGTGTGAGCCATTCTCAACTTATCCACGTTCATATGATCTGTTGCATGCCTACCATCTTTTCTCTCACCATAAATACGCTGGCGAAGGTTGCTTACTTGAGGATATCATGTTGGAGATGGACCGTATTATCCGCCCTCAGGTAAACAATATGGGTTAAAATCATCTTTTATACTCATATAAAATGACAATTTTTAATATCTGTTCAAAGTCGTTCAATTCATGCCGGGTTTGGGGTATTCTTGTTAATTTATGGCCTAATATAAAGGATGAGAGCGTCTCCAATAAGACTAATTGTACTGTTTTGTGCTTGCTTCCATTAAGTCTAATTGTACTAGTTTTCAATATGGTGCCTGCTTTGTAATTAGTGACATCACTTTTGTACCTGGCTTGTGAAGGTAAAAATATCATCATTAGACCACTGGGTGGGCAAGGAGCAAAAAATTTGATTACTTTAGATATTTCTTTGTGAAGAGTTTTGTTGGGCTTTGAATACTTTGGTTGATTCCTACCTTTTTAATATCTCAGTAATCCCGCTTGGGACTTGTCAGCAAGATAGTTTCATATATGTGTGTGATTTTCTGCTGCATTGAAGTATGGCAATAGACATGCATCACCCTAGAAGGTTGGAACTACTAATGAATGAGTTGGAGTGGTAAGAGTGTATGTATGAGTGAAAGAAATTGAAAAGTCAAGTTTGTACTCGAGATACTTGGTGTATGTACTAGTTGGTTGGGAGAGTCTATGAAGAGGGCATCAACATCCTCTGAGACTTTCTTCAACAGGTTCACAGATAATTCCTTGTGACATGGGTGGAGGTCATCAAAAACAACGGGTAGGTTCCTGAGACTAACCAAGAAAACTAGGAATTGGAGGCTAAGATGTCTGATGGTTCCCAAAGGCTTTGAAGGCAGTGGATGGTGGAAGTCAGGAAATCTGATATTGAAGGTTTGTTTGGGAAATTGCTATTTGTCGGGAAGGTCTGTTATTAGTATGCCTGGTGTGATAAATAGGGATTATGTCAATGCCAAAAACAGAGCATTTAGAGAAACTCAAAATAGAGCCAAAATTCACATCGACTCCAATGGAAATTTCAAGAAGAAAGTAGGGATGTGGTTGTTTTTGGCAATTGGGCCATATATGGGAACATATTTTTGAATTTAGCATGATTACCGATCAATTGCTTGAGGAATTCTGCATATTTGTGAGATTTGTTTTAGAATGTCCTTTCATGATTTCATATGTCGTCTCTGGGAGCTAATGTTTCCACTAGGTATTTTTTTTTGGTGGATGGGTTGGGAGTGTTCTGGAGGGTTAGGGATTGTTGTGGTGGGTTTCTTGAAGTTGATTATGAATCTGTGACTATGCGAAACTAAAATTAAAGTGGCTATGCCAAATTTTGGGCTTCTACTGTCTTCATTGCTTCTTGAATTGGGTGGAAATGTCTTTAAGATGAAAATTAGGGTTTTGGGAAGGCTGGGGTGGGCTGGCAAAAAGTTTTTGTTGGTACCTTGGTTCAATGGCCAAGAGGTTGAAGATGATAGGGTTGAGATTCTGTTACACTTGGCAACTGGGCGAGGGTGGTTGTACGTGGAAATCTAAACTCTAGAGATGAATTGGAAATACATCTTGACCTTTAATTTCGGATCTGGTGGAGGGAACTATTGGAGATATAGCAGCTTAGTTTGTTAGGGTTTATTAAATTTTTTCTTTCTTACCTTTTTATCCTTATTGTAATTTTTATTGGCCATATATACGGGGGGCTCTATACTTAGTTTGTATCCCTTTTTCACTCACGTTTATTTCAAGTTGGTATCAAAGCCGTACCTTAACCCTAACCCTAACCCTAACCTTCTCCCGCATCCTCATCGGCGATTAGCATACAACCCTCATCACCACTCACCACCAAAACCAGTGAAACCACCCAGGCCAACCACAGACAAACCCCACCGATTGCCCAATAAACCCAGCAACCCAAAGCAAAGCAAAACAACACCGATTGCCTCTTGCCTCTTCATTAAACCAAGCAATCAATCACCGACCAACCTGCCCAGTCCCAAACTCCATCGACTGACTGCTTGACTGCCATCTGAAGCAAAGCAAAACAACACCCACAAAATAACCATCCAGAGCAAAGCAAAACAACACCGACTGACTACCGCTTGCCTCTTCATCACACCACCACAAAACAGCACCCATAAAACAACAATCCACATCCAAGCCCATATTAAAATCAACCCAACCCAGCGACAAAATCAGCTAACCCATTGCCCAATCTCAAACCCAGTCCAATCCCAAACCCAGTCCAGTCCAACCCAGTCCAGTCCCAAACCCAGTCCAAACCCAATCCAGTCCCAAACCCAACGCAGTATCCACTCCAGTGGACTAGCCCATTGCTTGGTCGCATTCTTTGTCACAGCTTCGAGTTATGCCTTCGTGCGTCGGATTATTTGGGACCGTATGACCTTTTAAGAGGAATTGATTTTTCTTCTCCGTTGATTTGTTCTTGATACAGTAGATCAATTATTTATATTTACTGGATTTTTGGGTATCGTGACCTGATTATTTGGGAGCTTTCTGGACCTTCTTTATCTATCGCTACTGTTCGACTGGAGGTATATTGTTCTACCTTATTTTTTTATTTATCTTTTTCTGTCACGAGTGCCCTACTATTATTAATGATATGACTACTACTGAGGGAGTTGAGATCCCTACCGTTGAGACATTTGTTAGTACTTCTACTGGGTATAGGGGTCGACAGTGCTCGGCCCAACGCCTTCAGGGTACCCCACATCAGCATAGATATGGGAATTCTCGTCAGTGTGATTATTGTAACCGACTAGGACATCTCAGGGCTACTTGTTGGAAGCTTCATCCAGAGCTTAAGCCGCCTCATTGCAGTCGCACTGCTGCCATTGCTAAGGCACTATCACCTACAGTCATTGCTCCTACTACTACTGTTCCTGCTCCTCCTTGGCAGAGTGATATGAATGCTATCACTTCTTGCTTGGATATATTTATGTCCGTCTTGACTTCTCAAGTTTCGACTACTACTGCTGCCATTACTACAGGTGAGGCCCATCATTTCACCTCTTTTGACGAGCAGTTACATACTCAAGTTCAGTTAGCAGATGGTACACATGCCCCTATTGTTAGTAGGGATACAGTTCGCCTCCCAGATGGCTTTACATTATGTTCGGTGTTTCATGCGCCATAGTTGACCATGAATCTATTATCTATACATCAGTTAGCCAGAGATTTTCACTGTGTGGTTGTGTTCTTATCTGATTTGTATTATTTGCAGGACTTGAGTATTAGGAGGATTATTATCAGGGGATATGAGAGAGATGAATTGTATTATTTAGACAATCCACCTTCAGTTTCACCAGTTTCTCCACCTCCACCTCCATCACCTGTTTTGTCTTTATCTGTTCCTAGCTTATATACTAGTATTTTACCTAATACTTGTCGTTATGATTTTTTATCACAAACTGTTCAGTTGTGGCATGACCGTTTTGGGCATATAAATTTTAAATATTTATTTGTTATTTCCTGCTTTGAGCAAAGCTTGTGTTAGTGGTAAACTTGACTGTGTTATATGTTCCTTATCAAAATATGTTCGGACCAGTTATATTCCTCGCATGCACTAGTCACCCAAACCATTTGACCTAATACACTTGGATATTTGGGGACCTTCTCCTGTTACTGCTCTGTCAGGTGTTCGATACTATATGACATTTATAGATGACCATACCCGTTGTACTTGAGTCTACCTTTTACATAGGAAGTCTGATGTACTCCTAGTCATTATTCAATTTCTTTAGATGATTAAGATACAATTTGATGTCATTGTTCGTGCTCTTCGTTCGGATAATGCCAAAGAATATGTGTCTGATGCTTTAGTGTCTCACCTTTCTTCTCAGGGTATGCTTCAGCAGCTCACTTGTCCATATACTCCTGAGCAAAATGGAGCAAGAGGTATGGGGGTACCAAAATCTTATTGACATTTTGCTGTTTTGACTTCTACCTTTTTGTGCAATCGTACACAGAGTCGTGTTCTTCAACATAGGGCTCCCTTATTGGTCTTATTCCCTGAGCGGACACTTTTTTCGGTCCTCTCTCGTGTTTTTGGCTGCACATATTTTGTTCAGGATCGGTCTCCTACTCGTCATAAGCTTGATGATAAAGCGATTCGTTATGTCTTTGTGGGCTCTTGTCATCAGTCTAAGGGGTATCAGTGTTATGATCCTGTCAGGCGACATATGTATCACAATTTAGATATTACCTTCCTTGAGCATATTCCTTATTTTTCTTCCAGTCCTATGTCTATCCCTCCAGTTGATGATACTCCCTTTGATTTTTCATTACCACCGGAGTCAGAGCCATTGGTCACTATCACTACAGAGTCATCGGTCTCTCCTCCTCCAGAGCCACTCATCCCTGTTAGTACAGAGTCACTAGTCTCTCTTCCTTTGTAGGTTTATGTTCGTCATCCTCGCTCTCATCCCCTTGCTAATGTCCCCTCTACCTTAGGCGATGCAGGTAATACTTCTCAGTTCGTTGAACATATTGATACACCTGTTGTTAGTACTGATGAGATTGCAAGTACTGAGCCAGTTGTTTTACCTTATGAGACATTACCAGTGGAGGATGATAATTTAGGGCGTCGTTATTCGCGGCGTGATCGTCGTCTAGTTGTTCGTTATGGTTGGACCGCCAGGATTTTATATCTGATTTCTGCTTATGTTTCTTATGGTGATCTGTCTCCTACATTTTGAGCTTATAGTATGGTCTTATCAGGTACGCCGATTCCTCGCTCTGTTTCAAAGATTATGTGGGAGCCCCGGTGTGTTCTTGCAATGCAGACAGAGATGGACGCTCTTCAACGTAATCATACGTGGGATCTTGTCTCTTTACCTTCAGGGGTGAAACCTGTTGGCTGTCGCTGGGTTTACACCCTGAAGTTTCTTGCGGTTGGTACTATTGATCGTCACAAGGTTAGGCTTGTGGCGAAAGGCTTTACTCAAGTACCAGGTCGTGATTTTGGTGCCACCTTTGCCTCCGTGGCAAAATTGACTACTGTTCGACTGATTATTTCTCTGGCTGCGGAATATTCTTGGCATCTTCATCAGTTGGATGTGAAGAATGTATTTCTTTACGGTGATCTGGACGAAATTATTTATATGGATGCACCACCGGGCTTTTGAGGGGGAGTATGCGGGAAAGGTTTGTCGATTGCATAAGTCTCTTTATGGATTGAAACAATCACCATGAGTTTGGTTCTCTCGCTTTAGTGATGTTGTTGTACATTTTGGGTTCACCAGATGTCATTCTGATCATACTTGCTTCATTCGACGGAATACTTTCAGACAATATGTCATCCTTTTGGTATATGTTGATGATATTATTATTACTAGAGATGATGTTTCTGGGACTGCGCAGATTAAGGTAGACTTTGGGACGGCCTTCGATGTGAAGGATCTTGGATTTTTGCGATAATTTCTTGGGATTGAGGTTGTCCCTAGCAGTAGAAGTATTGTTCTTTCTCAGAGAAAGTATGTTCTGGATCTTCTCTTAGGCACTGAGATGCTAGGGTGCAAACCGACATCATCAACCATGATTCCAAACCTGAAGCTTACTGCTGAAGGTGAGGAGTTGGGAGATTCGACAGTCTATCAGAGGTTGGTAGGTAGATTTATCTACCTAGCCAACACTAGGCCAGACATTTCATTCGCTGTCAACCGAGTTAGTCAGTTCATGCACAGACCATGTCAACCTCATCTTGATGCAGTTTATCATATTCTTCGGTAACTCAAGTCTTGTCTTGGACTTGGGTTGTTCTATTCATTAAGATCTCTAGCTTGTTATTTAAATTCAGATTATGGGGGACATGTGACGGTCGATCTACTATGGGCTTCTGTGCTTTTCAAGGGACTCATCTTATCTCTTGGAAGAGTAAGAAGCAGTTAGTTGTCTCTCGCTCGTTAGCAGAGGTAGAGTATCGGGCACTTGACACATGTGAGATTATCTGGCTACGATCGATTCTTGGTGAGTTGGGACTTCCAGTGACTTCTTCATCTATATTATATTGTGATAATCGATCTGCTATTCAGCTCGCTTCTGACTCTGTATTACACGAGAGAACGAAATATATAGAGATCGATATTCACTTTCTTCGGGAGAAGGTTAGCAGTGGTATTATCACTCCATCGTTTGTGGGGACTAGTGATCAGATTACAGATGTTTTCACCAAACCTGTCACTCTATCTATTCTTCGGGACTCAATTGTCAAGCTTGACTTAGTTAACATTTTTGCGCTTAGCTTGAGGGGGAATGTTGGAGATAGAGCAGCTTAGTTTATTAGGATTTATTAAATTTTTTCTTTTTTAACTTTTTATCTTTATTGTAACTTTTATTGGCTATATATACGGGGGCTTTACACTTAGTTTGTATCCCTTTTTCATTCATGTTTATTTCAAGTGAAACTAATGATCATTTTGAAGATGATAGGGTTAGTTATTGTTAGTCCCCAAAATTCGATTGTGCAAAGGTCTGATCTGATTCTTGGTTATAAAGAAAAAGAAAAGGAGAGGGATTTGACTGGGTCTAGGGCTAAGACCTACAGTGTGCTAAAGAATATCGAAGTCAGAGATTATGGTGTAGACTCAATTTGGAAGGAGCAAAGGTTGAATCGGAAGAGTGGGGAATATCATAATAGGGAAATGCTTTGGAACCTAACTGTTGAGTGTCTGGCTCGAATGAATAGTGAGCAGGATGCTTTTGTTCAAACTGATGAAAGAAGTGAGCATTTGGAAGCTAGTGATACTTTTTTCCTAAAGGATGTGACGATGGTTGATGATAAGGAAAGGTTTTTTTTATGCCAATGATGTATGTATTGGCAAAGATATCGAATCTGAAGTTGAAAATAGTACCGATAATTCTAGTACTGAAGATTTGTAGAGTTCTGATGGTAATTCAGAAGTTACTGAGCCAACTATTGGAGTATGGGAGCTCTTAGTTGGAACTGATGCAACGAATGTTATAGTCTGGCTGTAGGCTAATATCATCTATGGGAGTTCTTGGGCTTGAAAAATCATCTGACATGAAGGAATTTAAAAACTTGGAGATGTGTTTATTTATTATTATTATTTTTTTTTTCGTGGGAGGGGGTGGTTTGGATTCTGGGGTTGTTGAGTATGTAAAGGGTAAGGATTGATTGGGTTTCTCTCCTTCTCTTCCTTTTAATTCTACTACCGTGTTCGTGAAGGAGAACACCCTCACTGGGAATAAAATTTTAGGGGAAATGGGTTGAACACTAACTGTCCACCAGATGATTTGTCATGTAAAGGGATTAGAATGGAATTGGTGCTTTTTGATAACAGAAATGCCACATGTAGGTAGGGACGATGGAACTCACATAGATTTAGGGGGAGTTTTGAGGGGCTTTTAGAAGGGAGAGATGAGGGTACTCTGCAGATTGAAATGAAGTCTGCGGGAGCGAAGGATGAGTTCCTTTTTTATAAGAAGGGGTGGGGGAGTTTGAGGGATTTTTGACTGCCATGGACCTATCCTTGGTACCTGTAAAAGAGAAGGGTCGAAAAACCATAAAAGGAAAGGGATTAAAAATAGGAGGGGTATGAGGGAACTAAAAAATTTACAATTAGGTGTTAAGTATGATGGTTGTGATGTTAGGAAAGCAAGTGAGGGTGAAAATGTTTTTAAGAAAGATCCTTAGCCAGAACGTGATAGGTCTACGGGGTAAGAAAAATTTGGAAAGGAATAAGAATCTAGAAATTGTGATTTTACATGGAAAAAAAAAAAGAGGTTCTAAGTTGTAGGTTGGTTAGTAGCATATGGGGTGCTAGCTTGAAGGAGTGGGTTAATGTGTCATCTTGTGGTAAGTCTGGTGGCATTATTATTAGGTGAGATGCTAGATTTGTGTTAGTGTTAGAGAATGGACCTTGATAAGTTGTGATTTGGGAGGAAATTTAAAATGAAGGATGTCATTGGCTGGCGGTTGTCAGGTATTTATGGACCTAATAAGTCGAGACCTAGGAGGAATTTTGGGGAAGAGGTAGCAGCTTTGTATGGGTTATGTGTGTCTAGATGGTGTTTGGGGGATATTACCGAATTAATAGGTTTTTATCTGAAAAGATAAAAGGGTCGGATAACTAGAAGCATGAGGGATTTTAATGAGCCAATTACGGAAATGAACCTAAGAGATCGTCCTCTAAGTAATGTATTATTAACTTGGTCGAATTTTAGAAGGAGTTTGGTGTGTTGCAAGTTGATTGGTTTTTGTTTTCTTCAGAGTGGAAGGAGTGTTTCCTTAATGTGAGACAAGAAGCGTTAGTGCAATTTATGTCTAATTATTGTGGGGTCCGGCTCATTTTAGATTCGAAAATATGTGGCTAGAACTTAGAGCAACACTTGTTTAAAAGAAGCTTTAAGGCATGGTGGCATGGGTGTTTAGTACATCGATGGGAGGGATTCAAGTTTATAAAGAAATTAGCACATGCTAAGAAGCGGTTGAAGGTGTGTAATTGAATGGTTTTTGGCGATGTTACAGTTGAAAAGAATAAAATACTCAGTAGCATTGTGGAGTTGGATAGGATTGAATGTGGAATTTTGGGGTTTGGGGGGGGGGGGGGGGAGGGGGGAGGGGGGTTAATGAGGAATTGAGGGAGGGAAAGAGTACTCTTAGAAATAAATTCGAGCAAGTAGTGTTAATAGGAAATTTCGTGGAGACAAAAAGTGAAGATTAAATGGGCAAAAGAAGTGGACAATAATTCTAACTTGTTTCATAGGGTGACGAATGAAAGAAGGAAGAAGAACCTCATTACTAAATCGGAAGTTGATAGTGGGGTAATTGTGGAGGAGTATGGGAGGATTGAATCGGTGATTTTAAAATTTTTTTAGAGGTTGTATGCGAATGAGGGATTGTGAGGCTGAGAGTGATGAGTTTAGATTGGAGCCCTATTAGTGATGAGATAGCACGTTGGTTGGAAAGACCATTTGAAGATAATGAGGTGAATAATGCAATTTTTGTGTGCGAAAGGGATAAGGCATCGAGCCCAGATGGTTTCTCAGTGATAGTCTTCGAAGATTGTTGGGATATTGTGAAGGATGAATTGATGAACGTGTTTGTGGAATTCTTTAGAAAGGGAGTTGTGAATGTGTACACAAATGCAACATATTTGCTTAGTCTTGAAAAAAAAAACATTACTCAGTGAAAATAAGTGATAGTAGGCCAATCAGTTTGGTGACTAGTGTCGAAAAACGCAAAGGCATTGTCAGGTAGATTGAGAGAAGTTTTATGGGACTCTACTTCTAACGCCAAGGTACTTTTTGTCAAAGGAAGACGAATCATAGACATTGCAATGATATCAAATAAAGTGGTTGAGGATTTAAATGTTTTGGATGTATATGAGGAGTTGGATCAAAGGCTGTTTATGTTCAATGAAACTTTTCTATGGTTATTAATGGTAAACCGTGAGGGATATTTAATGCTTCTAGGGTTCTTAAGCGGGGGAACCCATTGTAACCCTTCCTTTTTATTTTGATTGTGGATGGATTTAGTCATATAGTGGATAGGGCGATAGAGTATACTCTTGTTGATGGTTATTGGGTGGGTAGGGATCTTATGGGGTTTCTCTTTTGGAATTTGCGGATGATGCAAATATTCTTTAGTTTAGGGGGTGAGAAGTTTCAGAATATAGTGAATGTTATTGAGGTGTTCACGTTGATGTTGGGATAAAAGTAACTATTTCAAAGAGTCTAATTGTAGGAATTAACACCCCCAAAAGGAAAAAATTGATAGCATTTAAAGTAGAATAGATGGTAAGGTGGGTGAGTGGCCTTTGAAGTACTTTGGTTACCTCTACTTTTTGTCACCTTTTTAGAATTCCTAGGAAAACAACTCTATTAATTGAAAGTATGATCAGAAGCTTTTTGTGGGATGAGAATCGTGAGGGGAAGAAAGACCACCTTGTCAGGTGGGAGGTGGTGTCTAAACCTAAGTGTAAAGGGGGGGCATTTAGTGTCAGAAATTTGGTTAAATGAAATACTGCTTTCTTAGAGAGATGGTTGTGGCACCCAAGTTTGAAAATATTCCTCTTTTTTGTATTTTGGCGAGTTGAAAGACATTGTGTGGCTTGTAATCTAAGCTTTGGCCTCTGTGCTGTTTTCTTTTGGTTTAGGATTTATAGGATCGACTGTACTTCTTGGCATCTTTTTGGGTATTGGTGTCAAAAGGAGTTTGAAAATATTCTTCTTTTTTGTATTTTAATGAGTTGGAAGAGGCATAGTGTTGCTTGTAATTTGAGCTTTGGCCTCTATGCGCTTTTTCATGTTGGTTGACTTGTCATTGTGTTGGACGTCTTGTCCATCTTAGATTTGGTTTTTACTTTGTAATGTTTCCTTTTCGTAATTAATGGAGTTTATGTTTCTTATCAAAGAAAGTCTAAGTTTGCTTAGCATCAAACTAAGCAGTTTTCTGCCTACAGTTTGTTAAATATTCTCAAAAATGGATATGTTTTGGCCAAGGACTATTTATGTTGGTTGACAAAATTTACAGACAAGTTCAAATGCATGGACCTTTAGGTTTAGTTCTCATGAATAAAGTATGATGGGCATGTGGACACAATCTTTCAAAGATACTTGCTGGAAAAAACTTCTGCCAAAGAAAAGTGGATCTTACCTTATTCACCTGCACACTCTGTAGATTAACAATAGTAATGGCTCTGCTACAGTGCTTTCCCAAGTGTTGTGGCTATGGTCATCTTTCTGGTACTTATTTTGGTTTCCACAATGCCAATCAAATCTGGCTCCTGTTTTCTTAGAATTATCTTTATCCCCTCTTTGCTTCTTGACTTTATCTACTATCTGACGATCCACCGAGGGACATTCCTAAAAAATATTGTGCTGAGCTGTAAGTAAATGCTACTTAGTTTGATGTTTACCACTGAAGATCATTCTTTCAAATGTATTGGTGTTCTGCTGTCTTCCTTCTCCATTGTTTAGCCTGTACAGCAATACTCTTCTTCAGTGTGTTTTTTAGTCTCCTCTTGATTCAGCCTGTCCTGGACCCTTTTCCTGCCCCCAACCACTTCGTATGTTTCACATCTTTTTTGTTTTTCATGTTCTTTTGTACTTTCACCCATGTATGGATTCCTTTAACCATCATACACATGATTTCACTTGGATATCCCACAAGTGGTTCAAACTTTGAGTATGCATTTCCTTTGGGGAAGCTAATCTTTGTAGTTCTTGAGAACCATAGGTCATTGGACCATATTTGTTTTTTATTATTGTTCTTGGGTAACTGACTTGTTGACATGGAAGGATTGAAATTATGGTTCAACTAGCAACAATGGTTCAAGTTCATAAGTGGCCAAAGTTCTCACCAAACCAAAGATGTAAAAACTTTGATCAAGCGTTGTGTCTCATAATTTATGCATGCCTTGCCATGTCTGCTATTGTTCTGAGTTTATGCATATATTTCTTGGGAGTTCACTTAGCTAATTCCAAATGCAATGTGCAGGGCTTTATCATTATTAGAGATGATGAGCTTGTTACATCAAGAATTAGAGAGATTGCTCCCAAATTCCTTTGGGAGGTTCAATCGCATGTGCTCGAGGATAAACAAAAGGAGTTGGAATCTGTTCTAATTTGCCGGAAGAAGTTTTGGGCAATCGTTTAAGACGTTGTATCAGTGCAGGCACTTTTTCATTATAACCTGCCTATAGTTTGGTTGTATGTTGAGGCTGCTGGATCTCTTCTGCTTCTGTTCTTCCCCTTTGGTGCAGAAATCGGTATTTGTTCATTAAACTTGTAAATGTTTTAGAATATTTATTGTTTTGGTGACCATAACTATAAATATAGGAATTTACATTTCGTCTTTTTTTTTTTTTGCAAACGATAAAGTTCAGATCTGTTCATCTAGCCAATCATTGTTTAATAGTGTAGAGTGTGCATTTCTGGCTTTATAATTGACAATGCAACAGTGTTCTATTGTGT